TGAGTCAGAGACGAACGGACAGAACGAGAGGGAGAATGAGAAGAACGTACAGCCGTAGATGATGGTGACGGCCATGAGGATACCGGTGCCGCTGCCAATCGCGCCCATGAGGTCGGCAACGACGGACAAGAGACCGAGGATGGCGCCGCCGAGCGCGGCCGCGGTGGGCACGACGCGCTTGAGCTCCTTATACATCGAGCCTTCGCGATGCCCGGCCATGACCTGCGAGGGACGGAGACGCTTAGAAAGGAAGAAGAGGTGCGAAGGAGGAAGAAACATACCATCTGCTGGTCCTTGAGTTGCTTCGCGATGTCGCGTGGGCCGGAGCCGGAGACCTCAATCCAGGTCTTCGAGAAGATCGCACAGGCAGTGACAGTGAACGCGATGTAGATGACCGTATGGATCGGGTCGAGGAGCGCGGCGGTGAGCGTGTGGGGCGGGGACATGTAGTATGCGATGCCAGAGACGGCGGCGAGCTGGGGCGAGTCCTCAAGCGGCTCCCAGACGCCGAGGAGGCGGACGAAAAAGTTGGTTGGGAAACGGTTGGCGAGCATCTGGGAGATGATGAATACGTTCGAGGTGAGCGCCGACTCGAGCATGATTGGCATGTTCGAAGTGTAGAAGAGCTTGACGGGGTACGAGCCGCGCTGGCCACGGAAGCGGTTCGACTTGACGGGGATCTCGATCCGGAAACCCTGGAGGTAGATGACGACGGCGAAGACGGCGACGGTGGCGACGAGGTTCATGACGTTGGGGAGACGCTCACGCCAGAAGGCCTCACGGAGAGCGCGGCCCTTGTCGTTCCAAGTGAAGAGGAGGTGGAAAAGGGAGACGACGGCGCCCTCAAACTCGGGGCCGCGGCCAGTGTTAATGGTGGTGGGGGAAAACGCCTTCCAAACGATAGACTCGCAGATGTTGGTTGCAATGAAGAGCGAGATACCGGAGCCGAGACCGTAACCCTTCTGGAGGAGCTCGTCGAGGAGGATGACGATGAGGGAGGCGGAGATGAGCTGGATGATGAGGAGGAGGCAGATGCCGGCACCGAGGTCGCTGGGCTGGCCGTACATGCCGGTGAGAACGTAGACGGTGCCTTGGCCGAGGGCGAGGATAAGAGCGAAGACTGCAAACAATGTCAGAGCGTGTTCGCGGATAGACGAGAGTACCAAGCCCCTGACGAAGGAGACAGAAAGCGAATGCAAGAACCAACCACGTTCGCGACCCCGCAAGTCTTAAATGAGAGAGAAAACACCGGCCGGTATATGCGTGCCAGCACTCGCCACGACGCACGCGACTATGCACTGGCGTCACCACGCCCTGACGTAGTGTGGCGGACATCCTCCACGTCGTCCATCCATCCACCGGATCTCCTTCCAAACGCAGTGAGAGACAAACGACTCACGTTTCTGCGCTCCGCTAAAGAGTGCGCGGTCCTCCTTGAGCGAGAAGTCGACCTCGATGAGGTTTGCGCCGGCGAGGAGCTGGATGATCATGCCCGAGGTGACGATGGGGGTGATGCCGAGCTCCATGAGCGTGCCACGGTTCGAGGCGAGGATGACGCGCATCCAGTAGAGCGGGTCGGCCGAGTCCGAGGACATGATGCCGTAGAGCGGGACTTGGGAGCATACGAGGAAGATGAGGAGCGTGACGGCAGTCCAGAGCACTTTTTGGTTGAACGGTACCTGCGCGCGCGCAAGAGCGCAGGGTGAGCAGGGTGTGTGCGGTGCGAAGAGCAGAGACGGCTTACTTTGCGGTCGGGGGACGAGACCTCGGGAAGAAGGGGCAAAAACGGGCGGACGAGATTCAAAAACCGGACTGTATGCACTCGATGAGTGCGCGCGGGGGAGAGAGAGAGCTGTGGACGTACATCCGCTCATGATGGGCGAAAGGAAACCAACGAACGACGGGGCAGACGGGGTGAGCGAGAGGGCTTTGACAGACCGACGCTGGGCCCGCGTCCAAGTGAGGTGGCAGCGCCAAACACCGCCAAACACCGCGCGCCCCTAATCCGGCAGGCGACGTGTCGCGCGCGCGTGACCCGGGGGCCAGCGCACCCACCGGCCACCGCGCGGACGTCCGTCTGACGTGTCCGTTGGTCGCGCACGCTGCGTTTGTGGCCAAGACTCGTGGGGAACGTGGGTAAGTACATGAATAGGTATCCCGCTACAGCATTCTAGACAATACAAGTAAACCTTCATTCTTACGTTCATGTTCCTAATCGTCCTACTATCAGCCTACCACGCTCAGAAGTCGTCCTCCTCGCCGTCGACCAGGTCGTCGTTGTCCAGCGCAGCCTGCGTCTCTTCGTACAGCTTCTTCAGCCCTGTCAGCTCCGGCAAGAACTCGGTGTCGTTGAACGCCTTCAGCAGCATCGGGAACCCTTCCTTCTCGTACGCCAACACCACCGTCTCGCTGCAGCCTGTACACCGGTCGTACGCCGCGCCCACGATTGGCACGTTCCGGAACTGCGCAAGGAAGCCCCGCAGCTGATGCGGCACCAGCCCGAGAATGCTTTCCTGTCCGGGGGGCGCCGTGTTGTCCGCGTTCGTTTGCACCGGGGGCGGGGGCGCTTTGATCCTGCGTGAATGCTCGGTCAGCTCAGAGCGCGCAACACAATGTACTAGGGATCTGTACCCCTCCGGATGCTGCAGCATCGACACTAGCAGTTCGACCGCCATCGACGCCGCAATCGACGCCAGCCCCGGCCGCGTCACCGTGCACATCTGGTCCAGCGTCCTGTCTGTCAACGACTACCCCAGCATGCTCGTGTCAGCGTCCATGTCCCCGTACGGACCACATGCACTCACATCGGTGGGCGCAACAATGTCGTTGCAATAGTAGCACCCGAGCCGCTTCCCGTCCGTCCCGGGCGTGCGCGCGCCGTGACGCATGACGAGGAACGTGTCGAATCCGAGCGCTGCGTTGAGCACCATCTTCCCCTTGGACGTCCCGAGCACCGTCGGCAGCCACCGGCTCTCGCGCGAGTCCATGAGCAGGAAGATGACGTCGTGCTCGTCTACCAGCTTCTCCAGAGTCGCAACGTCCTTCTTCGTCTGCTCCACTGAGGCCGGTGGGATTGGATGCCCTGGCATCGGGATGCTTAGGTTGAGTCCGGTCGCGTTCTGCGGGCCAAGGCTGGGGTCAGTGTGGACGCCGAGGGGAGGGAAGGAGGAGACGCACGACGCCCGGGAAGATCTTCTTCAGCTTCTCCGCGGCACACGCCGCCTTGGGCTTTCCCCCGTTCAAGCAGTCTTCGAAGTCGAACAGAGGCTGGCGGACCGGGTTCGAGAACGACACTCGTGCAGAGTCGACAAAGGTAATCGTCCGCACGCCCCATCCCTGGTGTGCATGATCAGCGCCGCGGAGATTCGGATCCTATGACGGCAACACACCATGAGTGTCCGCGCGACGTAGCAACCGAGCGTGCCCGCTCCAAGCAGCAAGCACCGTGTCCCGGCCACCTTCTCGAGGTCGAGCGCAGGGAGGATACGCCACCGCATGAGCTTCAGGTTCAAGTCGACTGCTTGGTCCGCGAGCCTACACCGAACCCGCTGTCAGCACGCTGTCCTCCCCATGGAGTCCAGCTACATAAGACTCACCTCGCGGGGTCCATCATCGGTGCAAGGTCCGCCATCCGCGCCCCCAGCTTCCCCTGGATATTCTTCTCCCACCCAACCGCGCTCGGCTTCGTCCCTGCCGCCGCCACCACCACCTCGCCTGCACCCTGTTTCACGACGCCTACCCGGCTCTTCCATCCCCCAGCGGCGGCCGGCGCCTCGGGGTCGCGCCAGCAGAGGACGCGCACGCCCTGCGCGGTCTCTGGGTGGTTCGCGAGCAGGTACGCGAGAAGGTTGCGGAGCGGCCAGCCGGGGTTGTTTAGAAGCGCAGAGGGGTCGAGGAAGGCGACGGTACGCTCGGCAGGGGGCACCTCCGCGAAGAAGGATGCATAGTCCTCAACGGGCGCGGTCTCGGTCTTCCCGGAAGTGGTGCGGACGAGGAAGAAGGGACGGGTAGAGGCATGTTGCTGTGCGTGGACCACAGAGAGCTAGGGACGGGAAAGGGCGAGGGTCACGGAGGAACGGCACAAAGACATGGCAGTGGGACGGACCGTATCTGCGCCAAGAACGTCCTCCGCGGCCTGCCAGTCGGCGTCGATCTCCCATGCGGGCTTGGTGACGAATGCGGGGAAGGCAAACCAGTAAAAGTACTTGTACTTCTTCAGGTCCGCGAAAGTGATCAGCAAGAAGCGGGTGAGCTGCGCGGTAGACTTGTCGACCGTGATGCTCTTCCAGATCTCGTTGGCGGTTTGCGCGAAGAGCGCGGTCTTGTCCGCATTCTTGAATTCCTCAATCGTGTTGAAGTTCTTGAAAGAGCCCGTCGCGGCCACGGCGTGCTGTGGCGCCCTGCCCGACATCCTCAACCCCGCGCACGAGAACAAAGACGCAGAAGACTGACTGGGGATCCTTGGAGAACGCATCGGATCCGACGGTCAGGTTGCAGCCGAGCGCAATCTCCTGGCCTGTCTCACGGTCTTTCACAGCGCGGCCGGGGGCGTAGGAGGCGGCTACGGGGAGGGCGTCGTCGGAGAGGCGGAGGACATCGATCTTGAGATCGGTGAGGGCGTGCCAGAAGGCGGGCTGAACGAGGGACTGGAGGGGCGCGAACTGAACGATCGGCATGCGGGCAGAGAGGTACGCGCGAGGGCGCGAGGGCGGTGGGATAGGCTGGGCGTGGCGCAAGGAGGAGACGGTAGACGTTGGAGGCGAGCCGCCCAAGACGCGATCAGGACGGCGGCCCGCGACATGCCCAATATGGCAGGCAGACAAGCAGATCCAGACGCGTCGGCAGCAGTGGCTGAGGCTCTCCCTCGTTACTTGTCCTCGATTTATCCGTCAGTATCTGCTGCTCAGCGGGGAATATCGTGGTTCGTGCGGCACTCTCAGTACCGCACTGGGTAGCAGCGTGCCTTCAACCCGTCAAGAGCCAGCAAAATCCCTGCCATGTAGTAAGTAGCGCCGATGTTCAACCCGCCCGGCGCGCGTCATCCCACCACGACTCTTACCACCACCATATCCCCGCCCACTGCGCCGGAAAATGGCCTTCATCTTCACGAACAGCAACGCAGAACATCACGCGCGTAGCCGGCCGCATCGAAATCTTCCCCTCCCCACCGACCACTCACGGTCTGCACTCATCTACAAATACCCTCTTCATCCCACCCGCTCGGTCCCGAGATATGGTGGTATGAAGGTCCAGATGTATAGAATGCGCAATCCAGTTCCTGGCGCAGTGCGTGTTCCCTGGAGGACGAGCTTGGGTGCGTCGCGGCGCCCAGCGGCCAAGCTCGGCCAAGGCGAGCCAAGCGCGCAACAGAAGAACTCGCGCGCGGACGCGATGGTCAGCTCGGACATCGGACAACGAACGGCACACTCAGTAAGAGAGAGAGGAATAGAGACGTAGAGAACGAGAATCCGAAAGTAATAACTTACACGACGTGCGGATAGCGCTACGCGCGTAACTACTGTCGAAGAACGGTCCGATGCGCGCCTAGCGCCAAAGCCCCATGTCCGTGCGTGCCCTAAATCCCTGTCCAGCGAGCCCGAGCCCGTGCGCGGCGCCAGCGCCGACCAGCGAGCGAGCTCAGGGGCGAGCGGAGCGCTTCATCGACGACCCGTGCTCGCTCTGCATCTTCATCGCTGCATCGTGCTTCATCGAGTCCTGCATCATGTTGTGCTTAACGGACTGCATCGTGATCGACATAGGGTGCGTGGCCTCGCAGAGCATCGCGCACGCTTCCTTTACCTTGTTGAGGTCGCCCATCTCCTTTGTCGACGCCGGCTGCTCCGCGAACGCGCACCGTGCGTTCGCGACGACTGCGCGCAGCACGCGAGAGCGTCAGCGCTCCGCGAAACGCGGTAGAGCACGGGAGGAGACGCACCGTTGTCCTTGACGGCCTGGACGGCAGCCATGTCGAGCAGGTTCTGGTCGCCGAGCTTATTCTGGCTGTAGCGCGCGTTGAACTTGATCGTGCTCTTGATCGTGTTGTACGTCGCGACGTTGAGCGGGAGCGGCTCCGAGAGCACCAAGAACGTCAAACCCTCCGCGCACGCTGTGGGTCCCACGTCAGCCACCGTCTTCGCATCACCGCCACCCCCACAGCGGGAGAAGGCCCAAGCCCAAGAGCGAGCGCAGAGCGAAACGATACGCACGCGGTGTGGTAAGCGAGCCTGTGTACTGGAAGAGCTTCTTGGTCTGCAGGATGTCCGTCACCTCAGTGAAGTCGAGCGGCCCGGTCTTGGTGAGCGTGCCGGGCTTGGCGATATCCCCGATGTTCTTGACGACGTTCGTGATCAGGTCCGTCGTCTTCCCGTCCTCAGTGAGCTGGAAGGGCAGCGCGAGCACCGCGATAGCGCCGTCTGTGCGCGGGAGAAGGCAAGGTCAAATGACTGGGCGGCGCGGCAACGGGGATAGGTACAGACCCTCCGCCTCGTGGACCATATGGACTTCGAGCGGGAAGTACTCGTCGTTGATGCGGTGCTCGCTCGGGGTGTGGAAGTGAAACTGCTTAAGGGTGAAGTCCTTCCCAGCGAACGTGGTCTTGCCCTCGGCGATGACCTCGATAGTTGAGCCCTACGGAAGCCAAGACGGAAGCGGGGTTAGTGGTGGCGCTTGCAACGCGCGCACACAACGTCAAACACTGTCCGCGTCCGCGTCTGCAAAACGCGGGCCCGAGCAGCGCGTCAGATGGGGGGAGTGAGGGACACACCAGGTTCTCGAACTCGGCCTCCTCGACGTTCTTGAACTCGATTTTGGGTGCCTCCGTGGCGAAGGGGATGGAGTCGTCGATAACGATCGGCGACTGAACTTTGCTCGTCGCGCACTGAGAGTTGGCGGCGTCGATGCTCGCCCAGTTGAGGGGCCCGGTGGTGCCCGAGTAGCCGAAGTTGGAGACCTTGACCTCTCCCTCCTCGCGGCGGGAGAAGGAGGTGCCGTGTATGCAGTTGGCAGAGACCTGGATAGCCAAGAGCGCGAGTGCGAGAAGGCGCGGAGCGGCGGCAAGCGAGACCATGGTGCCAAGAATGAGGGGGTAAGGAGCGAAAGAGAGAGAATAGACGGCGAGCAGGGCGCGGACGAGGCGAAAAAAGGACCGAGAGCTGAACGCCTGGTTCAGAGGTGAGAAGTGTGAAGAGTCGGGTCTGCAGGGGGAGCTAGGGGGCAGCGCGAGATGAGTATTTGTGGTCGGAAGCGGGGGGCTTGCCAAGCCTGGCACTCACCGCCGCCATGGCCTTGGGATGATTGGTCGTTTCAACCTAGGTCATAGGACAAGTTCCGGACCTGAGATTGATCTGCTATCACCCTAGCGGCTTCTGCTTCCGACATTCGCTGGCTTGGGTCTCCTGCGAAGACGGTCAGTGTCCAGGCAGAGCTCGTCCGATAGTACTATTTGGCGCTTGCACCTCGGCGTGACCGCGGGAATGCGCGGAAGGCCCCAGTTAGCCAATCCTCAAGGCTTCATCGTCGGATCCCCTTCGCGTCTTCGTTTGCGAGTGGCTTCACGTCCAGAGCCACGGAGGCTGTCAACCGTCGGTGCTTGGCTGTCCCATCTCGCGGATGCATTGTCAACTGCCCCGCCTGCAGCTGGCACAATGATGCGACCCATCCTCACTGCCCGGAACCGCCGGTGAGGCGAACCACGCTACGCATCCACCTCCAAATCCTTCAATTATCCCCCCTTACTTTCCCCAATATCTTCCGTATTCCCGTCACTGCGCTCTCTGAGAGCATTTGGAGGCTCTCCGGAAGCTCGCAAGAAGCCTTGGGTAAAATCATCGCCCGCTCAATTTTCGCGCCCGTGCCACCAAGGAATTTGTAGTACGGTTCTCAGCGGACAGATCAGGCGGTCATGGACGCATCATTTGTCGCGGAGAGATGGCGGCGTTCCGGACGCGTTTTGTTTTGCCTCCAGGAGATCCTTGCATCTCGGCTGACACTACTGTTGACCGCGAGAGCTCCGTGCTCGGAGGTGTGTGCGCTCCGGAAAGCGCTTCCGCCAACCAACTCCGGCGCAATTTCTCCGCAGGCCGTGTTCGCACTTGTGGAATGGGTGCATGCACCCGTGACTATGTTAATAGTTCAAAATACCACCATTGAAGTGTTATCCTGTCGTGCCTCTACTATACACGTGCGCGACTTGGTTTCCAGACCTGCCGGGTTGTCGAAGATTCAGTCTACGGAGATATAACGTTCGATCACTGATCGGGACGACTCTGAGCCGTCCTGTGGGTTCGAATGAGATCAGTTGGGCCCAGACGTTTTGTTCTGCCAAGGCAGACGGTCTCGCCGCCGACGCCGCGTTGACCGAATCCCGCACCCCCTGGGTTTGTCACGGGCGCAGTCCTCGGATATAATTGGGGTGCCTCCTGGTCGCATCTTGAATGAAGATGACGAAGGTCGCTCATCGATGCTTACAGACAATTCCCAGACGTCAATAAGACAACAGTCGTTGCGCGGCAGTTCCACGGTCAAACGCCTAGATCCAACATGTACGTATTCAAATATTCAACACCGGCTGCACTGCGTGCCCTGGCGGTTGCATGCCAAGTACCGTCAGTGTTCGCAGTTCCTGATAAGCTGATATTTCTGCCAAGCCCCGACCTGTGCCTTTCCAGCGCCCTTCTTCGATTTGTCCGCTTGCTGCTCCCCCGCTACTCATGCAAACCACCAATTGACAGTTCTGTCTGTGATCTCTGCCAAGAATGCGCTACGCGTATCCAATGGCAAAGAGGCATCTGCCCGGTTACCAGACGCAGGTCTGTTTGTCGGAGGGAGGCTTGCCCACTGCCCAGGGTTGGCGCTATCAAGCTAGTGATTGAGATTGATGATCGGTGGAACGCGCATTGTCTCCGCAAGACAGAGAGCTGGGTACTTGAGCTACTGTATATTGCAATGATTTATCAGTGTCTTTGTCAACGCCGTAAGTAATTGTCACAAGACACGTTGCGAGGCTCGATCGCGTCCGATGCCTGTCGGTGTTGAGCGCTTATCACAAAGCCGCGGAGTTCACGGAGTCTTGATTTTTTTCTCACTCCCACTATATATTCAAGCTCCGCTTATCTACCATCAAACGAAGATAAGCGCAACTTTCCTTCGAACATCTACTATCGGACGATCCTGGACCTACCATGGTCGGCATGAAAACACAACAGCGTATGTTTGTGAGTGCTGCCTACTCGTGTTTCCTCCGAAATACCCCGCAGGAGCGTCCGACGCTGACTAATGTCAATTGGTCTCTGGCTTCTTTCTTCTAAATGTGACTTAGAACGCGGGCCTTGGTCGCGTGGCATCTCCGGTGCATACTTCTTCCATTTGTCCGCCAAATCACGCGAGGACGTCCGCGCAGAGTCTTGCTCAGCACATCCATAGCGCGCCTGGCAGAGGTGAAAAGTCGCGGCGACTCGCGCCAGGATTCACCTGCCGCACACTCCCTCGTCGCCTCTAGACCATGCACCCTCAGGTGGCCGGTGATTCCACGGTTACGGCGGCCCTTGTCCGCGAGTCATGCAAAAACTCGGACGTGCGCTCGACAGTCATCGCGGCGCCGGACGAGAGAGCAGACAAGCAGACGCTCCCTGATACCCAGACTCCGATTCTAACAGCGCCGTTGACGTATCCTGAAGGCGGAATGGCAGCATGGATGAATTTATTTGGCGGGCGAGTACCACCAGCCTGTTCGAGTGATCACGCCATCGAGCTGATCTTGCCTCAGATTCCTCCTCCAGATCTGCTGTTTTGGGTAAGTAATCCTCGAACGGCCGATGACACGGCATCTTAACTCCGCTTTAGGTATGCGACCTCCTTCGGAGTCTACGAAGGTGAGCATGCACCCTCTATCATCGCGCGCTTATCCAACAGTAGGCGACTCGTGCAGACTATTATACTCGAGTGTACCTCTCGAACGTGTCTTCGTCCACTATATCGTGCGGGACTTCCCTCTCTGTTGTGAACTCCGTTTTTTTGACTGTCCATCAGTTGGATTGGCAGCATCAACGCCTTCATCATGGTCTCTATGGGCGTTTTTGTCGGGAGACTGTATGACCGTGGCTACTTGTAAGTGTTGTCCCGTTTCTCGCCGATGTGCATCACCTGAGCACTCGTTGAAGCTATCAGCTCATCTACGGCGGAGCACTCCTGCTCTCGTTCTCGCTGTTCATGCTATCGCTCGCCAAGCCTGGGCAATACTACCAGGTCAGCGTCCGTCACACTCTGCGTGATCATCGCCATCGCTCACTGCTTCTCGTAGATTCTGCTAAGCCAAGGGATAGGGGTAGGGATCGGTGGTGGTCTCATTTACCTCCCCTCGATATCCATCGTGTCGCAGTACTTCCAACAGAACCGCGCGATTGCGATGACCATCGTGGCTGCGGGCTCTTCCGTTGGCTCAGTCGTGCATCCAGTCATGCTCAACAACACGCTCGACCGGCTTGGCTTTGCAACGGCGGCGCGCGCAAACGCCGGCCTCGTCACGGGGCTACTGCTCATCGCGTGTCCAATGATGCGGCTGCGATTCAAGCCGTCAATTGGTGGGGACGCGTGGGCCGATACGTGGCGCGCTGCCCGCAAGTTCTCCAAGGATCCGGCATACATTTTCGGGACGTTCGGGTGTGTGCAGCCCTCTCTTTCGCCATGTCAACAATCTCTGACGCGGTACCAGTGTGGGAACGTTCATCATCTGCTACTACTTCCCTGAGTTCTATATTCAATTAGACTCGCAGACGCACGGCCTCGGAAGCTCCTTCTCCTTCTACGCGCTCGTAATCCTCAACGGATGCAGCGTCCTGGGCCGTCTGTCCGCGGGGCTTATTGCGCAACGCTTCGGCGTCACATGGACCGTCGCGCTGTTCTCGTTCATCTGTGTCGCCTGCACCTTCGGCTTCATCGGGCTCTCCTCCGTCACCAGCGTCGTCGTCATCGGCGTCATCTTTGGGTACTTCGCAGGAGCTTGTAAGTCCTAATGTGCTACAAGTAAATCCAATCACTGACAACCCTCTCGATAGACGTCGCTCTCCTCGGGCCTTTCTTTGCGGCGCTCGCAGACGATGTTTCAGAGATTGGGTGAGCGGCTGCACCAAATGCGCGCAGAAACATGTCCTCATTGTCGTCGTACAGCGCGCGCTTGGGCATCGCATTCTTCTTCGCCGGAGTGGGAAGTCTCATCGGTGGATTCCTTTTCCACTTGCTCATTCTAAGGAACATGCTCAACAAAATCGAACAGGCGGTCCAATCAGCGGCGCCTTGCTCACTTCCCAGAACGTCTGGTGGAAGCCTGCCGTGTTCTCCGGAGTGGGTTTTGATTCCACGCATCGCGATGCTCTCCGTGCTGACACCCGTGTGCGTATGTAGGTCGTCGGCCTGTTTGGGAGCGGGTGTTATCTCGTCTCTGCAGTGCTTCAGTCACGGTCACAAACCGCCCAACGGAAGACCGCAGGGTCTGAGACAAAACGCAGTGCAGAGGAGAAGATCTAGTGGTCCGTGGGTAGTGAGCACCAATACAGTATTCCGGTCGCCGGCACCGACGAGACCAAATTTATCCGGTACACATGACGGCGGGAGCATAGAGTCATCGCCGTCGGCGATTCCTACTCTGTGCTCGGGCGTGTCAGCGCTCGGTGGTCCAACTGCGAGGTATACTGCCGCATGTTCTGCGATGGCATCTCGGGGTGTTCTCGTCTGCGGTAGCGGTACTGCCGAGTCACGGACGTCGACGCAGACGCGGACATGAAGCAGGACTTAATGAGTTAATCTCTACGCTCCTTCCGGTCGATGACATTGGAGTCACGGGCTGGGGCGTTACACCGAGCTCTCCCAGCCCTAATATGGCGGCGGAGCGGTGTTTGAGTTTGATTGGCGGACTTGACCGGCCCCTCTGCAGAAATATGTCGTCCATCTTGTAGCCTGCGCGGAAAAATATGAGAAACATACATTCACGCTCCGATGCGGACCATAAGTAGGACCTCACGGAGCCGGTAAATTAGCTGTCACGACCCTGCCTTTTCGGGCTTTGTTTGTTCGGGACAAACATCCGAATCGTACGCGCGATTCCACGTTTGCCATTCAAAAAGCTGTATGCAACCTTGCTTCTGCCAACTTCGGAGTGTCGCAGGATGGACAAGCACGGAAATGCGCACGAAGCCACCCCGCTCATCGGACAGCGCACAGAGCCGCGAACCGGCGAAGGCCAAGTCGTGCCCATGAAGTATAGTACGCCGTGCTCGCACTGATACATCCGCAATTGCCCGCTGACCGTCGTCTACACCGGTCCACAGGTTACCTTCGGCGCACCACGGGGACGCGCGTAAGGGCGTTCGAAGGGGATCTTGCGCTGCAGTACATCTACGTGCGTCGACCCTCCATCGGCGTGCTTCGCCCAGAAATGACTCATCAAATACTCCCAGAGCGCGGACACGCATCCGTTTTCGGAGACTAGGCGCAGGTTGCGCAACATCATCGTGTGGGCTGGGGCGATCTTTCAGTCCCGGATGTTCACCGTCGATGGCGGCGACGCGGTGATATACTAGTCAGTCCGCCGCGCACTTCGCCGTCTCACGATCGCCGCAGGCTCATGCCGTGTCAATTAGCGCTCCACCTAAGCCCTTGCGATTGGTAAAACTCGTCGTGGACGTGCTGGCGCGCTTCATGTCCCCTGAAGCGAGGAAGGTTTGTCGCATACTACTAGTGCCCATGTGCGCGCGACGCTGAACACCTGCACTCCAGAGGCGCAAGGAGGTCGACAGCGCACTTGAGGAGATCATTAAGCGGGAGTTCGGCGACCGGGTCGAGGACATGTACGAGGTGAAGGGCCTCGCCGTCACCCCGGAGAAGCAGGGGCGCGGGTACGCCACCGCGCTCATGCGCACGGTCCTTGACAAGGTGCGCTCCCCGCGCACCGCCTGCGGAGTAGATGTTTGTGACTGACATGCGAGCAGAGCGACACGGAAGGGAAGGACTCGTGGGTGGTCACTGGACGATCGCACACGTTCTACGCGACGCTGGGCTACACGATCGTCGGGACGGGCCAGACAGGCGGTGAGAATCCGACGTGGTCCCACGGGCCTGTCGATTGGATCGTAGTATGCTTTCCGCCCGTATGTGTGCAAAAAACATGCTCATACCAACTCTCCAGATGCATAGACTCGCGAGCAGCGTGCCCTCTCCGTGATGTGCGCGTGTCCACCTGCCAAGCGTTCAGCGTTGTGAAGTATGACGCGGTTTCCGAAGCGTTGACTACACCCGATATACGTATTGGTGTGAAGAACTCTGGAAATAATCAGCACACACGGATGCGAGCATCCAATGCAGCACTTACTCTTCCAAGTCGTATCCGCAGGATCAAATTTCTCGCCCTCCATGACGGCCCTCGCATGCTCGCCTACGTCCCGCCACACCTCGACCATCTCCCTCCGGTCGCTGTCGTGCTCAATCATCCACCACCGCATCTCCCGCATCTGCACCGAGCGCAGTTCCGGAAAATCCTGCAGGACCCCGCTGCCGCGCCCCCTTTTCCCGCATGGCCGACCTCGTCCAAATCGAGATCGAGAGTCTCGACCGCGCCAGGCGCGAGCGTCATGTTCCCCACCTGAAGCACGCGCAACGGGGGGAGCGCGTTCATGAGCGTGACGTTGATGCGCTGCTCCGTGTCGCGGAACATGGTGAGCAGTGACGGGTTCTCAGTGGTGTGCCCGGCCACCGGCGCACCGCCACCATTCAAGTTGAGAGTGGCGGGGAAGCGGACTCTTGAGGTCTCCCAAGGCTCCGCCCGCGTGGGCGTTTGACGGCTCCGTCCCGTGTGCCTAGATAGAAGAGCGTCGTAAGCACCCGAGAACCGAGGCGGAACGGGCGGAGTGGGGGACGTCGTACCGCGATCCTGGTGACCTCGCTCACTACGCGAAGAGGCGTCAGTATAGCCGAAATGTACTTTTGGACCCATCTTCAGGGCCTCTCTTTTTGCAAAGGGACGGTTAGCGCGAGTACTTGTGATGAGACTCTGGTCATGATCGAGTAGGCCAAGGTCGCCGACGCCTCCGTGGCCTCTTTGCCGCCCAGGAACCCGAAGTTAGACAGTCCGTAGTTCATGCCAACGACTTAGATATTCGGATATCCAATCTCGATGGAACGAGCGACTACGACGTCTACAGGAACACTGTAGGTGCAGTCAGCAGATAGTGGTGTGCTTGATGGCCGCGATCTTACGCGACGTTGGAGGCTGTCACCGAAAATCCACTGCAAATCGCTCGTTGAGTATTGAAGAGAACTAAGAAGCAACATATGGCTTACCACCGCGACCGGGAGCTTAGCACCCCCAGTGGGATTGGCTGGGACAATGATATTCACGTTCAGACCTAAAGCACATGAGCGTCGTCCGCTGCACGCGTCGAAAGGAAGAACTCGCGATCCTCGCTTTGGGGTACGGGCGCAGGTGTCGCGATCGCGGAGATGTAGTGGCTGACCGCCGCAGGCGCGTAAAGAGAGCGCTGTGCCGTAGTGTCCGGTCTCGGACACGGTTTTCGAACACAGACGAGAAAGACCACGTCCATGGGTGACATCTAGATACCCACGTCGCCCATGCTTGATCCGAGCGGACGATGTATGCGCCAACGAACGGGAAGCAGGTGGACGAGCCTTTGGAAGAGCTGCAGCGATTGACATCCGCATCTGTCTGCGCGTGGGGTGAAAGCAAAGCGAATGAAATACATATAATACAACTAATGATGCCGGTACAAGAGAGGAGTTGTTGGGGGACGCGCGTAATGACAAAGACAAAACTCACATCGTACGGAGCCTCGACCGTCGTTGCCTCCTCCTCACCTTCATCCTAGTCCCTCCTCCATGCCCGCAGCAGTTTAAATTGCCGGACCTCCATCTCGAGCACGCTCGCGAACATCCTCTGCGACCACGGCGTCTCGAGCGCGGCTTGGATCTCATCCGCCTGGGCGAAGCCCTCAGCGTTGAACTCGTGCACGACGAGGTGCTTTGGAGGAACGTCGTGCTCGTGCTTGATGGCGTCGTTCGTCTCCCAGACGAAGCCGCCATGATAGACGTAGCGGGCAGTGCGTACCCAGCTTGGCGTCTTCGAGATTGCCGCGATGTGCTCCTCGAGGTCCGGAGATACTTGGCAGAAGACGAGAGCGAGGAAGGGCCCCTGGGCGTGGGGATCGTACTCCGGCTTCGGCGGAATGGGAACGGGGATGTCGGTGGTCGAGGCGAGCGAAGATGGACGACTCGCGCTCAGTGCGGTGCATGGCAAGGTCTGCGTATGGAGGCTGGCTGAGGGGGTCCAAGTCTGAGGGGTAGTGGACGGCAAGATAGGTAGGGATGCGACCGTCGAGGGCGATCCAGCAAGACTAGTAGGAGAGAAAGGCGGGGATGCGGATGCGGAGCAGGAAGTGGTCGTTTTCGTACCAGTAGTGGAGCTCGCCCGAGGAGACGAAGCTGAGGCCGGGTTCGGTGAGAACGAGAATGGTAGACTGAGAGAATAGTGCGAGCGAGTGAGCAGAGCGGGCGCGCCACACAGAGGCGCATGGCTGCCCCAGGCTCGGGCCGGGCCGGGCCCCCTACCTGGGCTACTTCAAATCTTGAAGCCTACACTTATTGAGCATCTCATCAAAAGTGCCCGCATCGCATGCTAACCGTCCCTTCGAAAAGAGAGAGGCTTTGAAAACGGGTCCAAAAGTACATAAACTTCGGCTATACTGAAGCCTCTTCACGTAATCAATAGGATCGCGGTACGTCGGTTCTCGTGTGCTTACGACGCTCTTCCGTCTAGGCACACTGGGCATTATTTCCAGAGTTCTTCACTCCACAATACGTATATCGAGTGCAGTCAACGCTTCGGAAACCGCGTCATACTTCACAACACTGAACGCTCAGGTGGACACGCGCACATCACGGAGAGGGCACGCGACCCGCGGATCTATGCATCTGGAGAGTCGGTATGAGCGCGTCTTTCGTATACATATGGGCAGCAAAACATACTACGATCCAATCGACAGGCCCGTGAGGCCACGTCAGATTCTCGCCGCCTGTCTGACCCTTCCCGACGATCGTGTAGCCCAGCGTCGCGTAGAACGTGTGCGATCGTCCAGTGATCACCCAAGAGTCCTTCCCATCCGCGTCGCTCTGTTCGCGTGTCAATGAGAATAATCTACTCCACACACGGTACGCGTGGAGCACACCTTGTCAAGGATCGTGCGCATGAGCGCGGTGGCGTACCCGCGCCCCTGCTTCTCCAGGGTGACGGCGAGGCCCTGCACCTCGTACATGTCCTCGACCCGGTCGCCGAACTCCCGCTTAATGATCTCCTCAAGTGCGCTGTCGACCTCCTTGCGCCTCTGGAGTGCAGGTGTTCAGCGTCGCGCGCACATGGGCACTAGTAGTATGCGACAAACCTTCCTCGCTTCAGGGGACATGAAGCGCGCCAGCACGTCCACGACGAGTTTTACCAATCGCAAGGGCTTAAGTGGAGCGCTAATTGGCACCACATGAGCTTGCGGCGATCGTGAGACGGCGAAGTGCGCGGCGGACTGACTAGTACATCAGCGCGTCCCCCTCATCGACGGTGAGCATCCGGGACTGGAAGATCGCCCCAGCCCACACGATGGCGTCGCGCAGCCTGCGTCGAGTCTCCGAAAACGGATGCGTGTCCGCGCTCTGGAGAAGCGCTTGGTGAGTCAGATCATGGGCGAAGCACGCCGACGGAGGGATCGACGCACGTAGACGTACTCCAGCGTCAGGTCCCCTTCGAATGCCTTGACGCGCGTCCTCGTCGCGCGCCGAAGGTAGCCTGTGGATGGTCGACGACGGTCAGCGGGCACGCGCGGATATGTTGCGGGCACGTACTATACTTCATGGGCGCGATTTCGCCTTCGCCGATTCGCGGCTCTTTGCGCTGCCTGAGGAGCGGGGTAGCTTCGTGTGCGTCCCCGTGCTTGTCCATCCTGCGACGATCAATTGAGCAGAAGCAAAGTTACACTCGTGCCCTTCTTGTATTGCGCTCGCGCGGCTCTTGTCCTCGATGAAGGAAGAGCCTAGCCTTTATGGGGAGTGGGCGTGCTGTTGGAATTTGTATTCGGCGATTCGAGGACCGCGGATGCTGACAGCGTTCCGGGCCGTGAGACTGCGGCGTGCTATGTGGCCGAGTGTGGGTTTGTAAACACGACCCCTCGAATTCGTGCAAGTATGTAGTAGGGTGGAGTCGTCTGAGTTGTGGTGCGCAACAGCAGAAGGTGCCGCAAAGGCAGATCCCTTCACTCCTGCCTGTTGAAAGCAACAAAGTGCATGTTAACGAGAATAAACGCACCAGAAGAAGCAAAACACATCCACGCGTGGCAGACTGCATTTTAAAAATGCAGCTGTGCCATGCATTTGTAACGTCACTGGCACGTGGCCCGCCGTCGCGCGAAGCTGTTGCTCAGGACCAACGCATCGATTAACGGGATAGCCAGGCATAATCTTGAGTGTATACGGAGCATACTAGAACTCAGATGACTGTATAGAGGAAGAGAGGGCTAAGAGGATGTCATTGAATGCGGCCAGCGTCCAGTGCGCAGTGCGCACGACGAACGAGCTCGGGCGCCGTATTATGACGCCCATGACAAATGGTGGTGACGGGACTCGAACTGCGCGACGCGCGTCCCCGCCGGTCTCTCTTTCAAGCCACCCATCCACTTGTCTAGCCCCATTTCCAAGATCGTGGCAACGAGATGCCCTTGAAACCCTCCCGTTTCTAAACGCCAGCTTCAATTTCCCGGGATATGTCATGGAACTTGGCTGACAATAGGCGTCTGAGTCAGTGTTGTTCAATACCTCAAGTACTTGCTAGCGACCTCATACACTCACTGAGTCAAACGGTGTTGTATATTTCGCCACCTGACGTGTCACCACTCCCTCAGCGCTACCCAGCAACCAAGCGTGGCGTCAGCATTCTCCGCGATAGGAACCCCGATGGATCCACCCATATCCTGGTTGACACTGACCGATATTTCACACAGAACCTGCGAGTATCCTTACCTTGTTAGGTCGGATCGAGCGAGGCGCCACATGTACGGAAGACTCACCGAGGTGCGTGATGGTCTGGACGTTTATCCCCTGACAAACTCCACACGATTAATCCTCTCCTTCACAGCTCAGGGGGCATAATGCTCAGACGCGATGTCGGTAACGCACTACATGATCGGAAACCAGTGCGATTCACAGAGCCTGTTCAATTGTGTCGCGTTCACGGGTTCCGACTGCTCAACCAGGTTGACAACACCTCCTTGCAGATGACGTATTAAATTGTTGTCGTCAGTTCCGAATGCGAGTGCAGCGAGGACATTAGTCGATACGGTGTACTGACAGACACTGACCGGGACAAAGGTGCGAATCCCGGAGACGCCGGGAGATCTCCCGCATCCGCAACGTACGCGCACTCCCCACGCTGCTTCTGGACCCCGATAGGCGTGCTCCTGGTGTGGAGCAAGGCGTCCTCGCTCAAGCTCTCGCCCCTGCGCAGTGTCGGCGCTCTTGGGAGATGACTGCGGCGCCAGCCAAAGCCGACGGCGGCGGCGGCGGAGCAGGGGATACGGGAGCTCTCCTGCCACTAGGTGAGCACGACGGCGACTAGAGGCGGATGACGGAGGTGCGGCGAGAGGTGAGATAGCGGGCGAAGGCGGTCGTCGAGCCTAGAGCGAGGATCCAGTTCGATGCCGTGAGTGCCAGCTTGAGATGCTGCCTTGAGTGCAGGGCCCGTTTCGCGGCGAGCGTGTTCTGAGGAGTTCTTCGTTCCCATACGCGGTCGTATAAATGCACGTGCTTAAATGGAGACACGCATTAGGAGTGCCGAGAAACAGTCGACACTTAAAGCACCTCCGACAGATCCTATGCGCGTGCTCCTCCGAGGACCTTCGCATCCGAAATCAACAATCGGCATGAGCACCCTCCCGTAAGATTCCCCAAATGGACTTACCACGACAGCTTAAGCGTGCATTGTCCCCACTACGCCCACTACACTCATCCGCGAGGGACCAACATGGCCGGCGGGGTCACCGCCCGCCGCCGGCGACCCGCAGCGTCCCCGACCGGACCGCGCGCGAGCATGGCACGCTGCCATCGCGCCAGTTGCAGACTGCCGTTAGCGCGGGAGTACGTCGAGCCGGGGAGCAGACGTGGGCACGACGAACGAGTCGGCGACGCCACAGAGACATTGCGCACTTTGTGGAGCTTCGCATCCTCGGCACGAGGAACGCTGTACGGGCGCGCGGCGTTTGCGGGGCGTCAGAAACTGTGGACACTAAACACAGGGCATCGTACACCTTGGATGAAACCGAAAATGCATCAGACACTCGGAAGCTAAGAAGGAGAAACCATTGCGTTACAACGGTGGTGTCGTCAGCGCGGCGAGAAGGAGTGCAGAGAGAAGAAGACGAACTGCGTCCGCGCTCAGGTTGGATGCCTCGAGCAAGCATGAGAAGAGGGTTGTGACAAGTTTATCGAAAAAACCCCTTGGTACGGGAGCGAATCACTGAAAAGAGTATCACGTTGAATGCATTGCCACCGGGTAGACAAAACGGGCGGTAAGTTCACGACCAAGTCTGTGCGCGGTCGCACAAGGGGAGAGCTTCCGTGTTATCTGACGATAGATGTTGCTCTAATGTAACGGTGTGAGAAAGCCCAACGGTGCGCCCACCGTCTGCATAGCGGAGAGGGCGAGCCCAACAGGGAGCGTTCCGAGAGGTAGCGCCGAGACGCCCGACCGGGCGGGAATACGTAAGATTGCCGTGGGAAGAATACGCTATAATGAGAGCGTACACGCCCAGGTCGGTGTCCACCTCCTCTTCGTCCACCCCGATTCGCGGGTCGCAACAATCCCCCGACGCTAGTCGCCGCGACAGTGCTTGCATAACGCCAGCCAGCTTCACAGCATAACTTGAGGCGAATGCTTCAGCCTGAGGTGAGACAGTGCTCCCTCTCGCTCGTGCACTGAGGACTTGCACACTAGAGATTGAGTTGTGATGCGTCGACATAAAGTCCGGGCCGCCTGCCGCTGGCGATAACCTGTTGCTGGGACGAAGGTGATGTTGATGTCCGTTCATTATCCTCCTCCCGCGCTCTCCCCGCAAGCAGGCACGTCATGGGTCCGTTTGACATGTCCGTCCACTGCGCCTCCTTTGACACGCCTCACAGGTCTCAGCCGAGCACCTACGCCGAGAACTGTCGTGGCCCCGCCTGAAGTCCAGTCGAGACCATTGAACCCGCCCCGACGCCATCTTCCGCGGGTGCGGCGCGAACGCGATTGACGTCGGACGTGCGCTGCCCAGCTCCCCACTCCCGTTCCTCCACCTCCATCCCGCCCACCAACTCCGGCAGCACCGTCCTGACTCCTGGACCATCATGATCGCGCCCGTTCGCTGTCATGCCCGACTTCTCTCCCCCCTTCTTCCCACCCCAGCGATGATATCGCGTCGCGCAGCGACTACCGCCCCCGCTTTGCGACCACGCGGTGTCATTCTGCTACAAGCTGCGTTTGTATGAATGCCGGCACCCGCCCTCGTCTCCGCGCCCCTCCCCGCTCACCTTTTGCTTGCCCTCTTCCCGTCTGGGCTCGCTTGCCTCTCCTGCCCCACTCTCTTTCCTACCTTCCTCTTTCGCCCTTGCGCGTCTCGGCTGGCCAGCACTCGCAATAGCACATGGCCTGCGCCTGCGCCTGCGCATGATGGTCTTCACCCCTACTGTCCGCCTTGCAGTGATTATCGGCGTTGCGGCCCTTGCCCTCGTCCTCGCCCTCGCAGCAGTCCTCACCTTTGTGCTCTGCCGCCGCCATCGGAGACGACGCGAGCAGAGTCGTGGGGCCCCGCGCGGGTCGACCTCCGTACAAGCGGGTCATACAAACCCGCCGTTGACCAGTCTACCTGCGCGGCGCAAGAGTGCGTTCTTACTACTTCCTTCTGAGCACTTTCTCCTCACGCATGCATGGGCCTCGGCTGCCTCAGGGTCGACGTCGCGTGCCGCTGCGAGTGACAAGAGTCTGGAAGAGGGTGATAACATCTTCCAGCTCCAGCAAAAGCTGTTCACAGTCACCACGGCGTCGTCACAAACCGCGCTCGCATCTGAGCATCCGCTCCTTCAAACCACCCTCCCTACATTCTCCTTCGATGACCTTACCCATCCACCGCCGCACTCCGAACCTAAGCTGGAGGACCCGCGCGATCCAGACTCGATCATCAGCTTCAGTGGAAGTGAGGCGCCCTCGGACGCGACCGCTTCGACGTCGACGACCGCACGCACAAACGGCTCTGTTCCCCCGAACCCACACAACTCCCTCGTGAATGACTCCCCTGTGCCTTTGCCGCGCGCGCGCCCCGCGTCGCCCGTCCAGCGCTCGCGCTCGCTCTCCCACCTCTCCGCCGCGCCGCCCTCGCCACAGGCACCCAGCCCGCTCCGCGCGACCTTCTTCCCCCACTCATCCTCCCCTCCCCCTGGTCTCCCCTCCGCCTCCTCCTCCAGCCGCGCTCCCCACTCCCACGGTTCTCCTTCCTCCGCCTCAACCTCCACACCCTCCCACTCCGCGCGCCGCGCGCACCCCGCGCTCTCCCTCCCTGTTCTCACCCATCTCCCGCCTGACCTGCAGCTCCCCTCCCCGCTGCGCTCCGCGCTCCCCTTTCCGTTCGACGACTCGGACCCGTTCGCGTCCGCGCCCGCGTCCCCCGCGCCGTCCCACCTCTCCAGCGTCGGCACCATCTCCGTCTCGGGCGTCGCCCGTCGCCGCCGCGCCAACTCGGTCGCCTCCTCCCAGTTCACGTTCACCGGCACCCCGCCGTCGGGCCTGCTCGGCGCCGGGATCGTCGAGTGGCCCGCGTGGGGTCCCGACCACGCGCACACGCATCCACACCCACACCCGCGCTCACACGCACCACAAGCAGAGCAGCGGTCCGAGCTCGCGCGCGGGCGGTCCTTCGACGCCGCGCGAGGACGGGGACGGGAACGAGACGGAGGGAGGGAGCGGAGCGTGTCCGTGCGCAGGAAGCTCACGAAGCGCGCGCCTGGCGCGGCGTCGATGCGCTCTATCGACGGCACGGGCGGGGGGCTGCGCGAGCGGGCACGGTCGCGGTCGGGCGTGCGGGAGAGCCACGGGCGCGCTCGCTCGGAGGCCGGGCACGGGCACGGACAGGGTGCTGGGGTCGAGGCGTACGGCGGGAGCTACGGCGCGCGGTCCGAGCTGGGGTACGCGCGGAGCGAGGATGGGCACTCGGTGTTCGAGGATTAAGTGGACGGGGTGTACGATAGCTGCGTCGTAAGTTATTCCGTGCTTATTGCTCGACGGGTGCGCATAGACTCCCTCCTTCCTACCCGCCCGTCGTCATCTTCACTTTCTTTTTCCTTTTCCTTTCCCTTCTGTTCTTCCTCCTCGCATAGCTTTCCACTAACTCTTCGTCTGTGCCGGTTCGCATGGTCCACTTTGGTCTATTTCGCTCTTCCACGCCATTCTGCATATGCCGTCTCCGGGACTTTCACTTTCATTCGCCCTTTCAGTTCCTGGGACTCTCTCTTTCATTCGCCTTTGCTCTCCTTCGCACCTCCATAGCTCCGCATGCCACGGAGACCCTGTAACATACATCCTTATTCCCCATCCCGCCGTCAGCGCCGGCCGGGTCTGTAACAGTGCCTGCCGTCCGCGCTCTAGAGCCCTGTCCCCGACTCGTGCCGCTCCCAAAATATCTCGCGCATCAGGGGTGGGGTCCTCAAGAGCATTGAACGGGAATCGAACAATCAAACCAACAAGCTGCAGCGCGGCCCCGAGACATTGCCCGTTCATCAGCCCATCTACGCCTGCCTCAAACACCGCAGACAGAGCAGCGGTCACGCTCCGACGGACGTCTTCCCGCCTGCGGTCTGACGTGCACCCGAGGGAGACATACGCACGGAACGGGGTGGGTTCTCATGCTAATGCTGCAATTGCTCTATACACGGCCGAGAGACGCAGCTCCCGGCACACAAGTAAATAACGTATGCACGCCGGGCACCGGTCAGCAGTACGGCAGAGGGGAATAGTATGTGTATGGGGATGCGCTCGATGGATGCGAAGGGGTGGTGATGGTGGTGGGTAAGTGGTGCTGGTAAACTACTCGAGCACTCACGGTGCGAATGTCCGGGACCCGGCGCGAGTCCGTGCTCGTGCACCTGTGCAGTCCAGTCCGTCTAGTCGTCTCGAAAATCGAAAGCAAAGGAGGATCGATCCAAACCCCGGAGCCATTCACTCCCCCGGGTTACTGTACAGCGACCTCTCGTCCGCGCTCTGTCTCTGCTGCGCCGCGGCCGCGGGTTCCGGCGGTGGCCCCGCCTTCTCGTCCCGCCACCGGTCGTCGTCGGCCTGTTGCGAGGGACCCGCAGCGCCTGACCGCGCCGCATGCGCCCCGAACGCCTGCTGCGCGGGTGCAGGTGCGTCACCCGCCTTGGGCGGCGGCGGTGGCGCCAGCAGCGGGGGCAGCACCGTGCTTTGTCGGGGGCTCGGGCTCGGGGGATAGCTTGCGGCGGGGCTCGAGCTCCCGCTCCCGCTCCTCGACGGCCCGGCGTTCGGGTTCAGGCGCGAGGGGGCGTAGACCTGCTGGGGGACGCGGGGGCCGTCTGGTGAGAGGGGCCCGCTCGCGTTGTCGGGGAGCGGTTCCGGCCCGCGGTAGACGGTCGGCATCGGGGGTGGGTGTTGCGGGACGAAGCGGGAGGGCCCGGGGCCGCCGCGCTCGATGTCGGACCAGGATGAGGAGGGGGCCATCGCGGCATAGCGGGCGGAGGAGTAGTAGTCTTTCGCTGCGCGGGGCGGGGGCGGGGGCGTTGACGGGGGTGGATGGGGGTGGGCGAGGGAGGATCGGTACACGGCACGAGAGGAAATGACGGGTTACTCACTGTTCCTGCCACTCCCGTCCGTCTTCTCGCCGACGCGTTTGGGGGTGCGCCAGCAGACGTAGATGATGGCGAGGCCGAGGATGATCACGAGCACGGCGCCGACGATGATGACGGGGAGGTACTTGAACGCCACGGAGGACATAAAATTGCCCATGACTGCGGACGGGCGGGCGAGAAAGGAGCGTGGTGTTTTGGGAAGGAAAGGCGGTCGGGGGAGAGGCGGACGACGGGGCTGGGTGCGCAGGGGCCGACTACGTTCGCATAGATGGAGTGGGGAGGGAGGAGGAGGTGGGCGGAGGCAAAGCGCCGTCGCAGGCTCGTACCCGCCGGCGGTGGTCGGGTGGCAGCGCCCAGCGCCCACGCCGCGCCCACGCCTGGAGACCGGACGCGTCTCCAGTGGATTCTCCGTACACATCCCTCGCGGCTCATCCCATGTGCCAATCTCCGCCATTCCGCGAGCCTCGAGCGGCCATTGTCGCCCGCTCCCCATGTCCATGCAAGGCCGGATTTCCTCATGCCAGGCTGCTCGCGCTTAGCCTGCGCTTGTGGCGAGGACCTGCCCGCACTGCCTGTACGTGCAGCTGGTCGTTATGGAGACCCAAGCGCGGTATGTCGCAATTGTGGCCATTTCATGTCGACTCGCTCGCGCATTGCAAACGCAGCCTGCGCTCGGCCAAAAGCTACAATACGTCTCAGGTCTGATACCAGTAACGACGGTGGCGCCGCAGAGCCCGCATGTACACGGGTCTGGGCTCTACGCCACCCTTTTTGCAAGTCCGAGCTCGACTTTGAGTACTGGGATGCACGCTGTCTTGAAGCACGGAAACGCCCACAGCAAGTTGTTGTGCTAAGTTTGGACTGATTGCACGTCTGCGCAGTACGCCACGGCGCAGCAGATAAAATACTAGTACGTCGTAAGTACAGCTTACGTAGGATTATGCTACACAGAAAGATCGCAACTCCAGTACACGGAAAACACAGAAGACAAACGCCAGCTTGATCACACGAGTCACGAACCACCACTCACCGTCAGCTGCCCAGCAGTCCCCTCCTCGCCCTCATGATACGACGGCGGCCTGTTCGACATCCCCCCAACGGTCTCCTCCTGAGCCTCGTACGCAGGACTGACCAGCATCCCCGACCCAGGCCTTCCTCCGTCCAACCGCACCCCGCCGTCGACCGACCGCCTCCGCCTCCGCCTTCCCACCGAGCTCCATGTGCTCCATCTGTGCGCCCGCTCCTCGCCCGCACTCAACGGGGTCTGCGCCGCGCCCGCGATTGTCGAGGTAGCCGTCGTGGTCGTGGTCGTCATCGTCGAGTACTGATCCGGATCCGCGGCGAGCTGCGCGCTGGGCACGCGCGACCGTCGACTCGGCCTCTCGAGCGCCGTCGGCGGCAGGACGGGCATGGGGATCGGGAAGGAGAGCGGGAGCCGCGCGAGCTCCTCGATCGTCGGCGCCGGGAGCGGGTACTGCTGCAGGTCGGGCACGGAGAGCCGGGCGCGGTACAACGGCGGGAGGGTCGACACGGTCGCGATCGACGCCGCGTCGTCGCCGTACGCGTACGCCGAGTCCGTGGGCGACACCGGGGGCAGCGACACCGGGGGTGCCGGTGACGTCGGGCGCGCGCCGCACGGGGACCCGGCTCCGGACTCTTCGTCGACCGCGCCTTCGCCATCTTCGAGGCTATCGCCGCGCTCGCGGAGCGGCGCCGTCCCGCGCGTCGGAGATCCGTGCGCGTCCGCGCCGCCCTCCCGGTCGAGCCCAAAGCTGGACAGATTCAGACGGGAGCGCGTGAGCACCTGGGGCGGGATCCGCGGTGGGGGCGTCGGCGGGGGCGAGTCTGAATCGAACGCCTCAGGCGGGAGGCACGGGAGTGCGCGCTCCAGAATGTGGACCGCATGCGGGCGGTTCGGGACGAGCGGGTCGTTCGGGCCAGGGACGGTGCCGTATGCAATCCCAGATCCCGCTTCCAGCCTGCAGGCGGCGGCGAAGAGCTTGAAACTGCAGTGTTGAGGCGCGTCGCTCGAGTCGTCGCGGCGAGGCCGGCGCAGGACGCCTGCCGTCCGTGGTGCGATGAGCTTTGTGGGGATGGGGACGGGACAGGCCGAGACGTACCTTTCCGGGCGGGGACATGAGCGTCCTTCTCGTATCGGGAGGGGATCCCGGTCCGTACGCTAGGGCGGGTGCGGCGGATTCGGAGGTACGTAACGTAGCACATGCCGAGCGCGAGGGTCACTGTGAAGACCGCGGCCACGATGGGCACGGTGGTGTCGTAGTCCCGCGCTGGGCTCCCCATATGTCATGCCAGTTTCGGACGTTGTAGACCGATCCAGGTTCGTCCGCGCGTACAGAACAACTAAAGGCGAGTGCGGGGATGCAGCGGCGGAGACTTGCGTGGCGGGTGGAGAAAAGCAAGAGAAGAGGGACAACCTGCCTGCCTCAAGAACGAGAGCCTTCATGCGGAGCCGGTTTTACTAACGGGGGACGCAGGAGGCGATGGCAGGGATCCCAGCAACGAGCACCCAGCGAGGAAGCTGAAGGCTGAGCAGCAGCAAATAAGGCCCGGTTGAGCTATGAGCGCAGTGATGGGTTGACGTCGAACAAATCGTGTGGCACCCCGGCTCTTCGGCCGACCGCAGTACATCAGCGGATGGTGGGCAATGTAGATGTCTTGTACCGTAACGCAGACGGGCTCCAAGAGTCTTCGCCGAGTAATACCAGCCGAACTAGAAGAGCGGCTCTCTCTTCAGGTAATAAGCTTTTGGACAGCCCAGGCAAGGTGAGCAGAGGTTTGGACTGCGGAGCGTACATCTTGATGTATTTCGGGTGTAGGATGGCGAGGGACAGATGGGCAGAGTTCCGGAATGCGACGAACAGCTGGGAGAGAAGCACAGTTGGCGCTTAGCGCCTGCGAGTTGGCATGACACCGTCACGCTCCTATCACGGATAACGTGAGTCACCGAAGTATTATGATGTGATATGGTCCTCACTAGCCTGCAGTCGCTACTGCCTCCCACCATGTTGTCCTTTTACTGTCAGTCATATACATGCATCGGCCTCTGCTACTTCCCCGCAACGGCGTTGTAAGAGCACTTGCAAAGGGCGATCTTGCGGCCACGCAAAGCCTGCACGTGTATGCAGAGACCTTGGATTTCTCCAATTTTGAGCGGTACGCTGCCCATTGTTTCGTGCTGCGTGGCCTCGAAGAGACGCAAAGGGAAGGATAGCATGCTGATAGTAGACCATGGCGCCTTGCGACTCGCCGAGAACAATCTTGTATAGTCCTCTAAACACAAGTGTTGGTTGAGAGGGAAGGATATCGCGAGGGTGCGCTCTCAGAATAAGCGCATGTGCTGCGTAAAGAGCAGGACCGAGGAGAGGAGGCAGAGGGACGGGTCATGAAGGGCAGGAGGGCCGCAACGTAGGCGTGCTGCTCGGGCGAGAGGCGCGCGGAAGGCGTGAGCGCGAGGAGCGCGGCGGGCAAGTAGGGCCTTCGCGATGACGGCAGTTCTCAGTCACTATTTGCAGGTCGCTTGATGAACACACGAGGTGCCATCCAACTACGTCTACTCGCGCTGCATGTCGCGCTCCGCTTTCGCTCTTTCTATTTTGCAAGTACTCGGCAGCATTTATCGACACTGATGCACTCGAGTGTTCAACGGCATACCGGCGAGTCATCCACGTCCCTCAGACATCCTCCCCATTTTCACAGTTACCGCCCCTCGCCTGACCGAGTCATACAACTGTAAGGCACTGATGCTGTTTTGAAGCGAATTGTCGATGTTCTAGCACACGATGGCCGGTCCACCAATTGGTCGAGTTCGCCGAGGCATAACGCAACTCAATTCACAACCCGCCGATGGCCGTGCGTTAACAGTCGCAGATATCAAATCGCCAGCCACAGACTACCTCAGATTATTCGGCGACTGTGCTACTTTGGAAATCCCACCAGTGGGTGCTCGTCTTCCCTCGGCTCTTGCGCGCGCTCACTCTCTCTTTCAGCGTACAAGCCAGTCTTCTCCATTTGACTTTACGGTGAAATCGACGGTGAAATCGACGGCTCGAGGCACTCTCCTAGCGAGACGATGTGAAATCCTCCAGCCCAGGCGGCCAGCGGCGGATCAGATGCTGCCTACCCGCAATGAGCATATAAGAGGACCCGTCTCGCTACTATTGGTACTCCAAACTCGTTCTCCGTTTTCGCCCGTCGTTCCCAGAAACCATCTTCACATCGTGCGACCATCTCCAGTCGCCTCAGACCTTGGCGCCACACTGACGTATCACCCTCGGCTCAGTTGGACCTCGGCCATGAAGCTCTCCATCGTCATCGCGCTCGCGCTCGTTAACGGTTAGTATCTAGAGCTTTTCCGCCTCTTCTCACAGCAATTGATTGCTTCGCTCCCAGCTGCCGCGGCGTCCGTCATCCCCCGTGTTCCAGCCGGCACCAGCGAGGATATCGGCGGCGGTCCCGGTCAATCTTGGCGCCGTGTCGAGGAGGACATCGTCGGTGGTGGTCAATCTTGGCGCCGCGCTGACGACATCGTCGGGGGCGGCCAGTCCTGGCGCCGTGACACCGGGGGCATTCCTATCTAGAACGTACTCTCATGGTAGAAGGGCACCATGGCCACTTGCAAACAACGTGCATACGGTATGACGGCTCTAGTGCATGGTTCCAACACGAGCCACGGTTTCTCAAATAGGACGAAACTCTCGACGTCAACGCTATCATCTCGACCATGCTCAGCTTACTAGCTACCTCCAATAGTGCTTGCCGGGTGCCCACTGAGATATGCAGATGGAACACCGCCTCTTCGTCGTCTATATCCACGCCGTCTTAGAGAGTCCTCGTCTTCATCTCCCTCGTGCACGCCTCTGATCGTCGGCATCGTTGCTGGCATCATCGCACGTATTACAGTCTTAATCGTGCGCTTCCTCCACGACCGCACAGTGTGCCGCGCAAAGGCTGCGCGGGTACCGGCCTCGGTCCTTTCCGGATCTCCTACCGGCCCCTACACCGTCCAGTGCGTGCTTTACACCCCCCTCCTCATTCCTAACACTGGGCGGACACCCCTCCGGCCCCGGCACGAGCTTCCGGCGCAACTGCGCCTCTCCGGAGTCGACAACCCGCGGTGCACAGCGCCGTCCGATCTCCTACCTTGACGGCGTTTCCGCTGGCGACCCCATGCAGGGTGATGTCCCCGCGGCGAAGCTCGCGCAGTGGCACTGCGGCACTCCGCGACGATGGGACAGTGCCGCCCTCTTCGCCACGCACCCGCCCGTTCCCTTCGACGCCAGCCCCCCGCTCGCCAGGTACCGAACTCGAGCCTCGTCGTGAATACACACACGACGGACGTTGCGGTCAAGAGAAAACGTATTAGCACGTGTAGGCAGGACCTCTGCTGATTCGTACACTATGAACAGCCGTAATCGCTGAGAAGTCATTTAATAAATCTGATATGGCGGTGGCAAAGTAACCGTGTCTCCTTCGACATCTTCCTGCGACGGCGAAATGCCAGGTGGTCCTCCCGCTATGCGTACACCCCCGTCTTCCTCCTGCGGCGTGCTAGATCGATCTTGCATCCCAGACAACCTGGCCGCATCAGAATGCCCTACACCACTGCCCGAAGACGCCGAGGGCTCGTATGAAGATGCCGGATGCGATGCGGCATGCTGCGATTCGGGGCGGTGCGCGCTGTCTTTCGCCATCGACGGCCGCGGGATCGCATCGTACTCCACGACATAGTACGGTGTGGACAGCGAGTACCGGTTCGGCGCCGCAGCTGCAAAGCAGGACCGCCATCCTCAGTATCCCGGCCCAGAACGCAGACTCGGAGGCTCAGACGACGCACCCTGCAACATCTCCCGGTCGCTCCGCGCACGCGCGCGCCTCCGTCTGAGCCAGAGCAGCCCCACTAGCCCGGCCAAGAGCGTTAGCGCTCCCAGCGCGATTCCCACTCCTGCTGCGACGCCCAGTCCCTTCTTGCCGCTGCTCGCCGCGCCCACAGATGCACTGGCAGGGTCGCTGGGCACCATCGCCGTGGGGTCAAGCGATGTCGTCGTGGAGGCGCTCACCGAGCCCGACGCGGCGGATGACTGCGAGGAGAGAAGACAGTCTGTGAAGCTACTGGCCCTGACGGTAATGTTCACGGCCGCCTTCTCCCCGGTGGCGTCGGTGAAGGTGGCCAGGAGAGGCGTCCCGGCGGGCTCTGGGATCGTGAACCGCCACGACCTCCCCATCAGCGAAGGTCTACTAAAGACTGAAGGCCCGGGATTGGCGGCGTTGGGACGCAGGAGGACGTCGAGCGAGAAGGGGGGGTTCCCGCCTGTGACATTGAAGTGACAGGGCCCGCATTGAAGGGGATTTGGTGGTTCGATAGCAGTGAAGGGTGTCGCTGCGAGGGATGTCGGGACGAGAGCGAGTGTTAACAGAGCCAACAGAGCTGCAGAGGGAGAGGGAGCCCGCGGCGAGGAGCGTGCCGGACGCTGCTTGAACCCGCTCACGGATGGAGAGGAAAAACCGCCTGAGATAGTTTGGTTGAGAAGTACATACTGTGCAAACGTTACCAGACGTACTGCAGAGGATATAAGCCGTGCGACTCAAAGTTCGTGCGCGTGAGGATGAGGACATCGCGAACGCAAATAGGAGGGAATCTTCGCAGAAGATGATGAGAGACAAGAAGAAGATACAGACAACGGCTTTGTAGCCAGCGTCAGGAGTCAGAACACCGCCCAAGGGAGATAACTAACATTGATTGACAGCCTCGTTGACAGATGGTCCACCTCAGCTCCACCGGCAGTCCCAGCAACTCCATGCTGTTTCCCCACACTCTAGCGTTTCATGTGGCGCACGGCGTTCGTGGAGGAAGTCTAGCTATGGGTTATTACGGCGCCACATATTCAACTCATCGTCATTTAAACATTATTGCAAGCATTCATTCTGAACACTGGCATTGCATCAGTCGCTGTCGATACCTGGTGATTGCAGTGTCAACATCTTTCAGCGCAAGCATTTTTCTGATTCGACGACTCCCATTATGCATGGAATCACAATTAAAAGTGTGAAATGGAGACAACACTATCTGCGACGGCCGAACCCTGGAGCGTCGAAACTCATAAAGCAAACTTGTACGGCAGCAGTACCTAGTGCAACCATTACAAATTCCACCGTTAGCCTACAACTTTACCCTTACATAATCGTTTCCGCGAGCACGATCGGCCAATCTTCACGGAACGGTCTAAAGTGCCGGTGTGGGAGGATCATCTGCGGAGTCAAATGCTGATGTTCGACACAGCAGTGTGGCTGCGCAAGCAAAGCCTCTTCGGTGCAGCGGAATATGGTACAGATACCAGCCATGAACGGTTATGGTGTCTACTAGACTTGGGTTCGTATTCTCCGAGATGCCCAGAATGCCCGGCGCTCACCCTGCGACCATGGTGCACACTGGATTTGGTGTCTCCCCACCGAATTGAATTTGAGCACGAGCCTGTACTTACCTGCTACCGCAAACACAGGGCTCCAGAATTACATAGGATCAGCTAGGCCGAGCTGAGTGAGGAGCGCTATCCCCTTTGCGCGGTACGAGTCCAGCGTGATACTCAGCTGCGGCTCAGAGTCCGACAGCGTGAGCAGCGCAGGGTTCTCCGTGGTGTACTGCGGCCACGTGGTAGCGCCATCGCCGTTCGGGTCCAGCGTCGCAGCGAAGCGGATGAGGTAGTCGCCCAACGCGCCCCCGAAGTACACGCTCACCAACTCCGCACCGTGCTCCTAACGCGCGTTCCGTCAGTGAGAGCGCAGCGATGACAGCGAGGCGAAACGCACCGCTCCGAGCCCCTCGACCTGGTCCGCTTCATTCACTGTGATCCCCCCAACCGACGCTGATCAGGGCAAGTACGGGACGAAACGCGCTGAAGGCTGCTCACAGTAGCCGAACACCGGTTGACGACCGGCGAGCTGTTGCATGAACAGCCGGCGCGGGCCCTGGAAGAAGTAGTCGCCCTGGATCGCGGCCATCCGCTTGTATTCTGGCGAGAACGTGAAGTTCGCGCCCGTGTCGAACGGAGAGCCAGCGGCCGGGTCTGCGGGGTACTGCGCGACCGCGTGGGCGACAGCCGCGCGCGAGGTGTGGTTGAAGTACTCGGTCTGGAGGTAATTGATGAGCTCCTCTTCGGTGCTAGACAGCGGTCAGATGTATGCCAGGACACAAAGTACAGAGGATGGAAAACGTACGTCACATTGAAGAGGGTAGGGAGCGAAAACAAGGTGCCTTCGTCTTTGTCGTTACCTGAGCCAACAGTCAGAAAAGATGACGCATAAAGAGGACACACTCACCGGCGACGAATGGGATGTTCGCGATGGCCCCAGAAAGCAGCTGATGCTGGGGCGGCTGCGCGACGTACCCGCCATCCGCGCGCGGGACATACGGGCTGAGCAATTGCTGTTCGTAGAAGTTAGCATTTGCGCACGGATGGATACTGATCACTCCATACGCACGTCAAAAGACAAAAACGTCGGTGTCATATCCATGGCTGCTTTGAGCATCGCGGCCGGGACCTCACGCAGGCACGCGAGAGTGTCTGCGGCATCCGCACACCCGGTCTCATAGATGACGGTGTCGTACGCGCTTTGGGCAATGGGAACATCTATTTCTCCCACTGGAGAAGCAACGTTCGACTCCAAGAAAGCAGCGCGGAACAATCCCTGTGGGTCACCGTTGTTCGCGAGCATGTGCTGCGCGACCGAGATCGAACCCGCGCTTTCTCCCCATCTGCAAGAGGCATCAGCGTGTGTCCTATGGAAGAGCAAATGTGGCGCACATCATGACCTTGTCCGGATCGCCGCCAAACGCCGAAATGTACTTCTGCACCCACTTGAGTGCTTCGAGCTCTGCGAGGATCCTGATTAGGATGCCACGCATGGGAGGCAGCGGAGGTTACTCACGATCGAGGAGACCAAGGTTCCCGACGCCGGCTTCCTTCACTTCTTTTCCGCCGAGGAACCCGAAGGCGGACAGCCTGTAGTTCATCGCGACATAGATGATGGGGTGTCCAAGTTCTATGGAGCGAGCGACGACGTTTTCACCAGGCAAGCTATATACAAAGTTAGCACATGGAGAGGTCGTGCAGACATCATGAGAACACACTCAGCGTTGGACCCAATCATAAACCCGCCGCCATAGATCCACTACGGTGAGACGTTCAGCAGGAGGAAGAACGACGAATAGCGTGAAAACATACAACTGCAACAGGAAGCTTAGAACCCGTGGTGGTGTTGCCCGGGACTATGACGTTTAGATTGAGACCTAGTTCGGTCAATATACTGCTAAACCACTTAGACAGCGCGAGATACTCACAATTTTCGCTTTGAGGAATTGGCGGTCGGGTCTGGTTCAAGAGTTGGCTGACAGCCGATGGCACATTCTCGGGGAGCGTGAGATTCGGGAATGTTTGCTGGAAGCACCGATTCCCAAAAGCCGTGGCGTTGACCGTCCCCGTATATCCAGAGATGGACCGAGGGGCACGGAGGCGAAGATCACCGATCCTGTGACACACATTCATCTTCAGCGACAACTGGGCAGACAGAAGACCAGCACAAACTCACGGAGGTTCTGCAAACGGGATGCCGAGATACTTCACCACCGTCCCCCCCGATGTGCCGACGAAGGTTGCTGCGTCAAGCACGACTGTCGGCAGGGAATCATCGACACCGTCGCGAAGTGCGAAGGCGTCAAGACTCGCGGACGCGGCCGTGGCAACGAGAGCAGAAAGGAGAAGAAAACGCATGAGAGGATGAGGGTTTTGCTTTCTCTCGACGGCCTAGAGCATTTATACGAGGTCAGCAGCGCTGTGAGGGGGTGACTCACACGCGCTTCGGTGTGTCTAAAGCCTGGGAGCAATGCCGGAAGATGGGTCCGAGGAGCATACGTATCCGGGCGCGGAGCCAGCTCCGTGATAGCGCGTACTGGAAGAGGCGCCGATGACGACGCCTCCTTGCGGAAACAATCTCCGAGATCTACATCACAGGGTATGACCGATATCCGTGGCTGTAAAAGCACAAGCACATAGAAATGAGCCAAATTGTTGTTGAGGGAGAAGTACAACATACCCCCTCCGATGTCGACGATGTGCGCTGAAAGCCTTCGCGAAGGCGCCCTGTCGTGAACGCCCAAGTTGGCACCAATGTGGAATGAGGTCGACAGCATGGTTTGTACGCGCGTTGTCGTTGCGGGACGGTCGGACTGGCGGGTTGCCACGCGCCGAATGTGACGACATATCGGACTTGGATATTTCAAACTTCTACATACCATTATCCCTGTGAGCGCGACTTCAATTAGTTACACTGCGCTCTCATAACGTTAAAAACGCGCGCACACTCAAGCAGTGTGCAACGTGAGCTCTGTCTCATCGCACAGATTGTGACAATGCATGCAATCAAGCTAGCGCCGCGAAGAAATCTACAACGCGCAACCGTCAGCCCATCGAGCCTTCTTCCATGCATGCACGGTTCCACGCACCTCCAAACCTGATATCGACCGGACCAAACCCCACGCTCTCCACGACCACCTTCGCCCACTCCCCCAACTCGCGCCACACCTCTCATATCCTCCTTCCATCCCCATCATGCTCGATCATCCACCACCCATCTCCAGCGACTACACCGTCTAATTCAGCGGGCTCGGTGTCGGGAAGCGCGAGAGACCAGAGTACCGCGAGCGCGAGCGGCCTGGGGGAGGTGCAGCGTAGGGAGCGCGTCGACGAGCAGCGCGGGGACCGCGCACACTGCTCGCACGCCGGCGACCTCCTTGCGGAGGCCATGATCCATGGTCAGGGACAGCAGTATCGGCGGAAATCCATGTACGCACGGCACCCGAACGCAGACCAACGGTAGGTCGGCGAGCGTGGCAGGCACGGAATGCAGCGCCGTCTGGATTGGAGGGATACGGGCTATCGACGCGTCAGCATGAAGGTGACAGAGAAGGGAAATGGGGCACTGCGCGTGAGCACTGACATGGGTATCGGACCTGACAGTGATCAGCTGGAAAGCGAGCCCAGCAGCCGGACACGCGCGCGACCTGCGCCCACGTGTGGTCCTCCTCTGGGTCCGCTCGTTGATGTAGGCCCCAGACACACCCATCGCGCGCGGTTGGGTGGCGCACAGAAGCGTCGGGGAGGAAGGGCGCGGAGGAAGTCGAGGGCAGACCGCGATTGCTGGTCTTGATCTCCGGAGAGGGATGGGAAGACCCGCTACTTTTCGTTCGAGGTTCGTATGTGAGCGTGGAGGTATTAGCGCAGCCCGGGACGAGGTCGAGCGCGGAGAACGGCCCCGCTCGTCTGATCATACGTGAAGAGTGCGTGGAGAGCGAAGCGTTTCTGAGGTAAAGAGCGTGTCGGATACGGACGCCCTTTGAGAAACGTAGGCACTGGACTCTGCCAATAAGGGTAGACGAGGAAAGCGGGCAAAGGCCCGTATCCGATAGCATCCATGAGCATCATGTTCTGCACCGAGATCCAGACGGGACTCACTACCCACACCTTTGGGTCAGGGATTACACGACATACAGCGGTTTGCCGAGTGAAGGGAAATGATAAAATTACAGGTGATACACCGCATACGTGCTGATATCACAGGATTGAGAAAACGTAGTGGTGGGGGCACGCAAGATGACCTAGGCAGGACTCACATCGTAGAGGCCCCACGCCGTCCGCGCCAACTCCGCTGCCTCTCAGTCCCTCTTCCACGTCCGCAGAAGCTTGAAATGCCGCACCTCCATCAACAGCGCGCTCGCGAAGATCCTTTGCGACCACGGCGTCGACAGCGCCGCCTTCATCTCCTCCGTCTGGTCGAAGCCGTCGGCGCTGAACTCGTGGACGGCGAGATACTTGGCGGGCTCTTCGCCATTGGGCTTAAGCGAGTCGTCTGTGCCAAAAACGCCGCCGTCGCGGTAGACGAAGCGCGTGGAGCGCACCCAGCTCGGCGTCTTCGCGATCGCCGCGACGTGCTCCTCGTCATACCACCGGTTCAGATCCTCCTCGTGGTCGGGCGCGACGTGGGAGAAGATGACGGCGATAAACGGCCCCGGAGAATGGGGGTCGTAGTCCGGCTTTGGGGGAATCGGGACGGGGAGGGAGGAGTAGCCACGCCGGTCGAGGAGGGCGATGCGGGCGAGGATGGACGTCTCGCGCTCGCTGCGGGTGTTGGCGAGATCGGAGTACGGCGGTTGGTTGATCGCATCGGGATCGGTGAGGTTGTAGCAGGCGAGGTAGCTGGGTTTGTGGTTGTCGAGAGCTACCCAGCGGGACCAGGTGTGGAAGGCCGGGATGGGGATGCGCAGGGGGACGTGTTCGTCGTCGTACCAGTCGTTGAATTCGGCCACAGGAACGGAGGTGCCAGGCTCGGCGAGGACAAGGAGGAGGCCTCGCATCGAAGCTGGAGAGGATGATGGGCGATATCGGAGATGGCTTGTTGTAGAGAGCGAGTGGAGAAAGTGGGAGCTTTGCCGCCGCGAGTGTCGGGCGGAAGTCCGAAGGACGGCCCGGTCCAGCGCCAAACACAGACAGCAACTTCCGCGCGAGGTCGTTCCCTCTGGGGCCATACGTTCACGGGTCGCTGTTGGGGCCAAACGACAGAAAAGCCGACAACGGTTGTACCCTGCGGGACCTCGAGCAACGAGCCCCGCACTCGCTCTTGTCGCTGGGATCTGGACAAGACTTGTAGAAGTTCGCGCAGGTTCGGGGAAGGGAAAACGAAGCTTGATTAGCGCTGTATGCGCGCGCGCTGTAAATAGTACATGACAAGAACAAAGACCTAAGAGTATCGTAAGGCGTGATAGACTGAACTAAGAGATAAGGAACTACAAAGGTATCATCCGAACGCATAGCGTAATCTAATCTAATCGTAGCCGGCGCTTCCGCGCGTATCTTCAACACTCCCCCTCAACTCGGCGTCTGAGAGGATCCCGAGTTGCCGCCGCAGCATGTGGAAGCGGTCGCGTGGAAGCGGCTTCGTGAACATGTCCGCGACATTGTCCTCCGTAGGTACGTGCTTCAGTTTGATAGTACCGGCTTCTACGCATTCGCGAATAAAGTGATGCCGGATGTCGATATGCTTGGTACGCGCGTGATGCACGTTGTTCTTGGAGAGCGCGATGGCTGAGAGATTGTCCGCATTGAGGTCCGTCGCGTCCTCCTGCTTCAGATACAGCGCTGCGAGAAGTGCGCGCATCCAGATCGTGTGTCGCGCGCAGTACGACACCGCCATGTACTCTGCCTCCGTCGACGATAGCGCTACTACCGCTTGCTTCTTCGAGCTCCATGCGACAAGTCCACCGGCGATCAGAAACGCGTATCCTGAGATTGATCGCCGGTCCACCGGATTAGCGCCCCAGTCCGCGTCGGTGTACCCTTCGAGGCGCAAGTGCTGGTACGCCACTTTCGTTACCAGCTCCCCCTGCGCGTGGTAAGTGATACCGTAGTCGAGTGTCCCCTTGATGTAGCGGAAGACGTGCTTGAGGGCCGTCCAATGCACTGGGCCGGGGCGCGAGCAGAATTGGGACAGCGCCTGTACGGCGTACGCGAGATCCGGTCGCGTGCCGAGTGCCGCGTACATCAAGGTACCGATCGCTGATTGGTACTCATGGACTTGTGCGGGGGTCACCTCCTCATCCTCGCTCGTCTTCAGGAGCTTGACGTTCGGGTCCATCGGCGTCTTCACCGGTGTACACTCTGACATGTGGTGTGCTTCAAGCGCGCGACGTAGGTAGTTCGTCTGTCGCAGCGTGAGGTCGTCAGGTGATCCGATAGGGCGCGAGATTTCAAGTCCAAGGAGTAGACGCGGCTCGCCTAGATCCGTGATCTCGTAGTGACGCTCGAGACCTTCTTTGATCGCGTCCATCTCCGCCTCGTTCGGAGCCACAGCCACCATGTCGTCCACGTGCAGTCCGATGCCGTGCTCGCCGCCGGGCCGGACATAGACGCACTGATCCGGTTCAGTGCGAATAAACTTCATGTCCTGTACGAGTGCCCCGTCGATGTGTATGTTCCAGACATTGGCGGCTTGCTTGAGTCCGTAGAGGAGCTTCTTCAAGCTGAGCACGTTCGTGGTCCCGTCCTCAAAGTCCGGGGGCTGGCACATGTAGATCTCCTCCTGGAGGTCGGCATTGAGGTAAGCGCCGACGACGTCGAATTGCCGAATGATGAGTCGCTTGTGCACTGCGATCGCGATCAAGGCCCGAAGTGCATCCATTCGCACGACTGGCGCGTATGTGTCGAAGAAGTCCAGCCCGAAGATTTGGCTGTACCCGAGCGCGACCAGCCGTGCCTTGAATCGAAGGATGATGCCCTCCGCGTTGACCTTCAGGCGATAGACCCAGCGGCATCCTATTGTCCTCCGCCCTTCCGGTAGCTGCACCATCTCGAAGACCCCAAGTCTGATGAGTTGCGCGAGCTCGCTCTCCATCGCGCGCCTCCATTCTGGCCACTCCGGTTGTGCGCGCGCCTCCTTCAAGTTGCGCGGCTCGATGACGTTCCCCGCTCCCCCTTCAACGCCGAAGAGTGAGAGTAAGCACGTGATGAGTGCTTCGTCGGTGATGGGGACGCGTTCGCCGTTGTGCGCAAGTGCCTTGTAGTCTAGGCGTGGCTTGCCTGCCAATCGCGACGCGCGACGCGGGACCTCCGGTACGGGCGCGGGCGCGAGCGTGGGCGCGAGCGCAGGTGCGGGCGCAGGCGCGGTCGCGGGCGCAGGCGCAGGCGCGGGCGCGAGTTCAGGCGCGGGCGCGATCGCGAGTTCGGGTGCGGGTGTCCGGTCCGCGTCTCCTCGGGGTTCTCCCCCTTCTTCTTCGTCCTGACGCTCGCCAGACTCCACATCCTCCCCCTCGAGCGGCTGGGCGAAGTACTCCATGTACTCCCATACGTCCTCGTCCTCGTCCGCGGGCGGAGTGGGCTTCCGTACGCGAAAGACCAAGTTGCGTGACTTTCCGATCCGCCGCGCGTGCCTGTCCCAGTATAGCCAGGCTTTGCTCCCCGGAGCCATCCCGACGAAGCGCATCGGTTCCGATTTCGGATCAAGCTTTGATCGCTTCGTTGCTGACGTGAGAACCCAGCACTCGGCACCCCAGGCGTGGAGTTCGGAGACGTCGGGCTTCCGCTTGTGCCACACTTGGTAGGGTGTTTTGTCCTTGAGTGCGCGAGTCGGGAGGATGTTCTTCAGGAAGATGGCATGTGCGAAGGCTTGTGGCCATAGGAACTTGGGTAGATCGGCAGCGATGCGCATGGCGCGCGACCGCTCCAAGGTGGTCCGGAAGACGCGCTCGGCAATCCCGTTCTGGCCAGAAGACTCGGGTGCGGTAGTCTCGATCGTGATGCCGTGTTCCTTGAGGTAAGCGCCGAACTCTCCCCCGAGGAACTCCTTCGCGTTGTCGAAGCGGACGCGTTTGATGGTGACGCCGTGGAGAGTTTGCAGGCGCATGCGGTATTCGTGGAAATGTGATTTGATTTCAGACTTCTCCTTCCCGAAAGCCGCTTCCGACATACGCGAGTGCACGTCGGTGAACACCCATGCGTAGCGCTCGTGTCCTATCCCCTCCGTCCGGGCCGGTCCCCACGTGTCCAGCACGATCAACTCCCCGATCACTCCCACCTCCGTCTCCGACGCCGCCGGATATGGTGCCACCGTCTGCTTCCCCTGTACGCACGCTTCGCACTGCTCCTGCGCGGGTGTCCCCTTGTCCACCACCAGTCCGTCCACCAGTTCCTTCCGCATCATCGTGTCCACGACCTTCAAGCCCGGGTGCCCTAGTATGGCGTGCCATTCGTCGTAAGTTCGTTTGCGGATAGGTCTGGAAACAGCGCCCGGGTACGATACCTCCGGAATCTCCGGCGCTCCGTCCATTTCGTAAAGGTAGCCGCCCCCGCGGCGTCCAGAGGCGTAAGCGCGCCCCTTCCGGTTGAGGAATTTGATCTCCCCGCCGGCTAGTTGAACCGTGTGTCCGGCCGCTTCGACGCGACCGATCGAGATGAGATTGTGCGGAATGCCGGGTGCGTGGATGACGTCAAGCAGGTCGACGGTGGTAGTCTTCCCGTCGTGCTTGTAAGTGAAACGTATGGTTCCGCGACCGAGGATGGGGGTGGTTCCGGCGCCTTGGAGGTACTTGCCAGTGACGGGTGAGTAGGTGGTGAAGAGGCGCCGTTCGCGCGCGACGTGCGATGTGGTGCCGGTGTCCGCGATCCATGCGCCGGCGCTCATAGCGGTAAGCGCGACCTCGTTGATCGTGGCGCCCGTCTCGATGAGAGCGTAGGCGTATCCTTCATCGTCCGAACTCTCCTCCGCCTTCCCTTTCTTCTCCTTCGCCGTCAACGCCTTCTCATCCTTTCCCGTCTCCCTTTCTTTCCCTTTGCCACCGCCCCACGGACGATGGTTCGGGCAATCCCTCTGCACCCCGACCTTCCCACACTTCCAGCAGTGCGGCGGCCCGCCGCTCCGCTTCCCGCCGGTCCCACCTTGCTTCGCCAGGAACGCGGCCTCGGTTGCGTGAGTGCGCGCTCCGTGATCGCGTATTGATCCGATGATGGTGTCCGGGTCTTGGAGCGCGCTCTCTTGAATCGAGCTCGTGAAGCCGCGCCAAGACTCCGGGAGTGCGCAGAGAAGCAGAAGTGAGAACTCATCGTTTGAGATCGTCCGGTTCATGTCCGCTAACTCCGACCGCCACACACCCATCCTCTGCACCCACTCGTCCACGTCCTCCCCATCAGAGTATTGTGAGTTCATCATCTTCCTCTTGATCTCGATGATGCGTCCCACGCCGCGTACTTGATAGTTCTTCTCCAATTTCATCCAGGCGTCGTGGCTCGTATCCGCGTCCGATACAAGCGCCGCGGCCGCCGTCCCGAGCTTGAGTTGCATACCGACAAGCGCCGCGAGGTCTTTGTCTTCCCAGGCTTCGACGTCGGCTCTGTTGCTCCTGTCGTCGGCTAGCTTCGGGCGCGTCTCGTGACCGAGGACGATGTCCGAGATCTTCGCGAGTTTGAGAAGCCCTGAGAATTGCCGACGCCACCGGGGATAGTCGCTCGATCCCGAGAGTGGCTCAATCTTCGCCCGGAGCAACGAGTTGATCTTGTCGGTGTTGGAAGTCATAGTGAGTGGAGATGTCAAGCTAAGGTGTGTATAAGAGGCTGAGTGGATACTGCTTTAGAACGAAGCAGGGCTCATAACCTGTAGAAGTTCGCGCAGGTTCGGGGAAGGGAAAACGAAGCTTGATTAGCGCTGTATGCGCGCGCGCTGTAAATAGTACATGACAAGAACAAAGACCTAAGAGTATCGTAAGGCGTGATAGACTGAACTAAGAGATAAGGAACTACAAAGGTATCATCCGAACGCATAGCGTAATCTAATCTAATCGTAGCCGGCGCTTCCGCGCGTATCTTCAACAAGACTCGACATACATGCAATCGCTTTGTTATCATGGGCCACAAAGGACGCGCACCGAACATCAACTAGACTACCTAGGCTCGTAAACGTGATACCCGTGAGGGTACATCATCCCGGCCGGCACTGTCGCCATCGAGGGACGCATCTGAAAATGGAACGCCGGAGGAGGGGTCGGGCGATAGGCAGAGTCCAGCTGGGGACGCGAAACAAAGCGCGAACGCGCTCGATCCGGTGGCCCATCGCTCGGTTTGACCTTCGGAGATGCCGTACCACTGCCCGCTGTCCTCCGCGTCTGCACCGCACCCCACTCCACGCAGCCCAGGCACAGCTGGAGCGCCTTGCCATCCATGTCAACCCTCCTCTTGCGAAGAAAAGATACCTCAACCGAGGCCTGATGCTTCGGGGGACTACCGCCGATCTTGCGGCCCCGGAAAACATGAGGCTCGGCGAAGTGGGCTCCGTGCAAGTTCTGACAGCGTCAGACGTGCAAAGTTCACGGAGAAGGTGGATGTTGCGCTCACATATCACGTGCGGTCAGCGTCCTCAGGAGCTTCTGCGGGCCATCTTTCTTGTCCCCGAGGTGTCATCACACACCGATATGGCCTCCGTGAAGACATGACAATCGATGATACAGCTCCGGTTTGAATACAGAGTATCGAGCGAGATCGGCGCGCTACCTCACACCTTTTGAGTGCGGCACGAGATCCTCCTGCGACCCGTCCTCGATCGATCCCGCCTCCACCGCGGGCGCGTTGTCTTCCGGCGACAACTGTGCCCTCGCGCGCGACGACTTGGACAGCGAAGTCGCGACGCCCGTCCCCATCTCGATGTCCTGGCCTGCTCAAGTCAGCTTTCCCGAGGGGACCGCACACGCAGGACACACGTACCGCGGGACCCCTGTCGCGACGGCCTCTTCGCAGCAGCAGGAGCCTCAACGACGGCGATGTGCGACGCCTTGACCTTGTTCAGGCCGAGATAGTGCTCCATGACCCAGTTCTTACCCGCGCCGTCCACGGGCCCGGCCGCGGCCGCGCGGCGCTTCCGCCGGCGGTGGGAGACGAAGCACGCGCTGGCGATCGCGACGAGCAGGATCGCGACGCCGACGAAGGTGAAGAGGTATATCGACGCCGTCTTGTTGTGCAGGATGCCGCCGCCGCCCGAGCCCGACAGCGCAGGGTCCGTGCTCGAGTCGGAGGAGTCGGAGCTGTCGGAGCTGTCGGGAGTCGTGTTCTGCGGATCCGAAGGGCGGTCAGCTGCGCCGCACTGTGCCCGAGATGAGCGTGAGGGAGACGGCACGGACGAGCGAGGTGGTGATGTTGAGCGACACGAGGTGGAACGCGGCGCCGAAGTTGGTCGCGACGATCCGGTGCGCGCCAGGGTTGAGCGTGGTCGAGTTGAACGCGAGGACGTTGTTGTCCGCCTGGATGTCGTCGTTCGTGGAGACGATCCAGAACGTGGGCTTGCCGCCGTCGATGGCGAACGAGACGTTCGTAGCCGTCGCGGAGCCCTGGGGCAGCGCGGCGAAGACCTGTACCTGCAAGCCTGTGCGCGCGCAGCAGCAGACGGAAATACAGCACGGAGGACGAAGGCGGGTCAGAACTGAGGCGGAGCGTCACGACTGTGTGACTCGCCTGTGAAGATGAGCGCAACGGAGGCGCCGGTCTGGTTGGTCGAGAGCTGGCGCTCGCCGAAGATATCCGAGCCGTCGTTGACCCAGCTCCCGTTCGTGACCAGACTCGTGTTGTCGGCCTGAATCGAGCGCGAGCTGGCCGCCGCTCGCAGCGGCAGCGCGGCGAGGAGCGCGAGACCCGCCGCGGGGAGGACGAGCATGGCGACGTGGGGGTGAGAGGAGAAGGCGTGGTGCGCGTGATGTCCACGATTATAAGTGCGTCACAACCCCAGTTGCCACGGCGGGCGGCTGCTTGCTTGGCGCGCCGCGCTTGGCCGAGGCTGGGCACGCAAATATGGGCGAACCGCCCTCCGTCTGTGACCTCCTCGCAGGCAATGAATCGTTGATATTAAAAACGGAGACAGACGGATCAACCAAGTCATCGCGGCGGCAAAGAACAACAAATCTCGCAAATTCCACCTGCGCGGACCCAGTCTTCGCCCATCCACCTAGCGTCCTACGACTGCCCACCACACGTCTCCGCGATTTCTTCGTATCTTCGGTATCGCGGCGGCAGCGTTTCGTTCTCGGCTTCGCGCCCGCCCGCCGCGTCGTCCCACTCGGATGACACCCACCCGCTCTCGGACCCGTCCGGAGTGCCTCCCGCGACGCGCACGCCCCCGTCGCGCGCCCGACGCACCATGTACGCGCTCTTGTCGTCCACCGTGGTGTAGGCAGAGACGCCACCGAACGGGCGCGCGTTCCCGAGAGGTGTCGTGGGCGAGAACGGCGGCGGCGGCACGTCGGGCACGGGCGAGGGACGGGACGGCAGCGGGCGTGCGTGCGGCGACGGCGGAGGGGCGCTAGTGGCGACGGGAGCGTAGCTCAGGTACTGCGTCCGCGAGACGTTCGAGCTCGTGCCGGATGGGTAGTGGGGACCGTGGTCTGACTCGGAGGGGGAGGACGCGCGCGTGTCGTACGGACGCGCGGGCGGGGCGAGCGGGGGCGCGTCTTTCGTCGGAGGCTGCACATGGACGCTCGCGTGAAGCGATCCGTGCGCGTCTGCAGCTTGACAAGCGCGTGAGATACGCTGGTGGAATGACGAGTACGAGGACTTACCGAAAGACGCCTCTGCAGATGAAGGCTTGCGTTCAGGTTCAGGGGGCGGTGATTCGAGACGATCGGAGGGGTGTGCCTTCGTGCGTCGCATGCGGTAGTACAGGAAGAAGGCAGCAAGGAGCGATATTACGCCCAGGAGTCCAGCGACAATGCCAACAATTAAGGGTGTACGAGAAGCTAATCTTGTGGGAGGGGAAGTATTCACATTTGACTGGGCGGTGACTGTAGGCGAAGAAGGACTCTGCGAAGTACCATCGGTAGACCCTTCAGCTATTGTGACTTGGGAAGAATCGGATGAGGTGGGAGAAGCAGACATCGTTGAAGAGACCGATGATGGAAAGGTGGGAGAGGAAAGGGACTGTGAGGACGTGGAGGACACAGACGCCGGCTTCGTTGGTATCGCGGTCGAGGTCGATGTCGATGTCGTACTTTGGCTCGTAGTGCTGCTGCTCGTAGTCGTGGTGCTGGACGATGGCGGGTTTATAGGCAGTGGCGTAATATCGGAAGTTGTAACGTCGAGATATACCAACCAGAAGATTGAGCCGAGGTTCTGCATCTCGATGCGATGCTGGCCCGCCGGGAGCGTGTTCGAGGTGTAGACCAATGTGTTGAACGTCTCTTGCTCCACCGGATCCGTCGTATCCCACATCATCGGCTGGTCGTCATCGATCGTGAAGGAGACGAGGGTCATATACGTGCCAACTGGACGCCTAGTCGCGTAAACCTTCACCTGCGTCCCTAGAGTACGGCGCACACGCGTCAAAAAAGCTAGCGTCAAGCACGAGGGATCGTACGCACCGGTGAAGTCATAGTATACGCTCGCCCCCGACTGGTTCGTCCATGTCTCGTGGTTCCCAAGTGCGTTTGGCGAGCCGTCTGCTAGCCAGAATCCGCTGTACACCATCCCCGGGTCGTTGTCCTTGACGATTTCTCCTTTGACGACAGCACAAGAAAGGAAACATAAAAGAAAGACAGCATTAAGAACGAGCCGCCGCATCGCGTCAGCGACGGACAGTCGGTAGTAAGGAGCGTGGAGGTGAAGGAGTGAGTCGGGGAACGGGCGCAGGAGCGGGGGGAGGGGCGTTCTGCGCGCGCGCGGGGTGGCCGGGTTTTAACAACCCCGGAGCCGTGTGTTGATGTCGGATGCTCAGGACAGTGATGTGTGGTCTGCCATTACACGATGTGAGTTGAGCTGGAAAGTATATTGGTGATGAGCGTCAGAGGCCTCGAAGAGCAATGAATTGTGATCGGCGCAGTCACCTCACGTCTGCACAGCTGGTGTGCTTCTTAGGGTACGAGAGAAGTCTGAGAGTGCGTGCTGAAGCCAGCACCGACCGGCGACCACGGATCATGCGGGAGGCTGTTATTTGTCGTCTGAGCAGGGCGCCCGGACGAGAGGCTGAAGAAGGAAGAGGGGACCGCCCGGCGTTGAATTTGCGTGATGTCCAGTCTTTGACAGCCGTCCCAGCGGTACTCCTCGGTACTCCCGGCTCCCCGCGCTCTCGCCGTGGGCTCGATACTACTAACGTACGTATATGCCACATCTACCAAGATTGCTCACATTCTTTCCGGTTTGTCCTGATCATCCAAAGACCGCGTCCGGTGCTCAGCGCTCAGCCAGGGACGTGCTGGTATGCGCTAAGTGCGACTGACTGACGGGCTGACTGCAAATCCCTTTCTGTTGTACATGGAGGCCCCGAGAGTGCGACGCGATTACCTTGACGGTTTTCGAAGCCTGAAGCCTTGCAGGAGGATGGGATTGGAATTCCCGCTTCAACCTTGCTGTCTACGGCCATCTCCTAGAATGCGCTGGAGATTACACGCAATCGTGAGTTGTCATTGCCTCACTGCCTGACAAATCCACTTCGACTTACCGCGAGTTCTTATGCCTCTCCGGGGACTTGGGCAGCGCCGGATCGCGGGCGGATGCACTGGTGGGGAAATTGGTCGTCGCTACTCCCGACGATGAGCTCGGGGTCAAATCCGACGAGGACGCGGCGGCGGCCGCGTCGGCCGACGGCGGGTCCCGCGCACGTGATGGCGACAGGATTACATCACCGGTCGGGAGGGCGTCTGTGCGATGGTCTCGATTGCAGCGATAAATAGGGACGTTCGCCCAAGCTACGCTCTCCAGTTCCCACTACACCGACTGCACACCATGGCCCACGTTCTCCCCGACCTCCCCTACCCCTACGATGCGCTCGAGCCCTTCATCTCGAAGCAGATCATGGAGCTCCACCACAAGAAGCACCACCAGACGTACGTGAACTCGCTCAACGCTGCTGAGCAGGCCTACGCCAAGGCCTCCTCCCCCAAGGAGCGCATCGCCCTTCAGGCAGCACTCAGGTTCAACGGCGGTGGTGAGTCCTCTATTCTAGCTCCTCAGTCGGCACGCGCGATTGAACGGCGGCGCCCAGGGCACATCAACCACTCGCTCTTCTGGAAGAACCTCGCGCCCGCGTCCTCTGAGGGCAAGGGCAACGGTGGCGCCCTCCGCGATGGCCCGCTCAAGGACGCGATCGCCAAGCAGTTCGGCTCATACGAGGCCTTCGTTAAGGAGTTCAACACCACCACGGCCTCCATCCAGGGCTCCGGCTGGGGCTGGCTCGTAAGTATACTCACCCGCGCCTCCGCTTACGAAGATCACTCAATCACATGTCGGTGCGCATGCAGGGCTACAACCCGGCGACGAAGGTCATTGAGATCACGACGACGGCGAACCAGGACCCGCTCCTGACGCACGTCCCCATCATCGGCGTCGACGTCTGGGAGCACGCGTTCTACCTCCAGTACCTCAACGTCAAGGTCGACGTGAGTACCCGTTGTTTGCGCTGCGCTTCGTTCCACTCACCCACGGGCTTCTCCGGCGCAGTACCTCAACGCGATCTGGAAGGTGATCAACTTCGACGAGGCGGAGAAGCGCTACCTCGAGGCGGTCTCTACCGCGAAGCTCTAAAAGTGCTGCGCGACGTCTACTTGCTTGATAGGAAATGTGTAAGAGGAAGGAAGAGAAGAGTCGCAATGTATTTTAGCGCGATCAATTCTGCACCATCGTTGCCGTATGCAATTGCTCATATCTTCGGTGACTGTTCGTCGTGAACTGTTCGAAACGAGATGTCGTCTCTTATTGGAAGGGACCTAAGAGCCCTATAGTGTCCTACGCGATCCCACAGAGGCTGCAGACGTCGAACGTACGTTGTCGACTCTCGAGTCTGCAGCGAAAGGATGACGTCGGGTGCCGGAATGCCGGACAAGGCCGGCCGGAGATGGGCGCCATGTCAATCGGCTGAGCGTGCGGCGCCTCTTCCGACCCATTGATCGTCCACGCCAACGACCGCCAATCCCGAACATTCCTCCGCCGGTATCTTCTCTGCCCCCAGAACGACAATCCGTGACGGCGGTCATATGTTTCTCAGAGTCCTAGGGCGGATGAAGCCGAAAGAAGCCAACGCAGACTAGTGCCCCAACGACTGACCGCTCTCACGGCACTTGCTGAGAAGTAGGTAGCCCTTTCCTTCGTTGTTGACATCCCGCTTTCGTTCACACACAAGTCAATCTCTAGCCCACCTGCGCTTCTGCCTGATCCTTTTCGAGTGGACATCGCCCAATGATACCGCCCCTCGCCTCTGTAAACCCTTCGTCGCGGAGGACGGGCCAGTAAGTCCTTCCATGCATTGTCTGACCTCCTGCGTTCAGAACTGGGCGCATATGGCCATGAGATACTCCGCATATACGCACCCGGCGTATTCGTGGCCCACATCCCACAGCTTGCGATCACTCCCGCACACCCGATCACTTCGTCAATGACAGATACTGATATCCGATTTCGTTCTCCATGTGAAGCACCCTTCTGCGGGTGCCCCGAGCTTGTGGGCCGCTGCAGACCACGGACACGGTATACAAGACGTCGCAGTGGTCATTCCTGCGGTTTCGCCCCTCAGCTCGCACCTTTCCCTGCGTCGCCTTCGCCAGCGAAGCTGCTCTTGTCGCTCCTTTCTCCGCCCCTCCACTCGTTTAACCCCTCGGTTGCCTACTACTGGGAGGGGAAGGCTGTCTGTATGTTCGAGATCGAGCCCTGGCTACTTTTTGTGAGTCTCTTCAATACTGCATTGATGACACCGGTGACTGAACACGTACGGAGCAGTCCCTGTACCTACACCCTTCGCCCTTCGCATCTGCGTCATAATGGCGTTCGGCTTTGGCGGCGGCGGCTTTTGTCGCTTTTCGCCATTCTGTCAGGATGACTCTTCCACAACATCGACCACGACGGAAACGCAGGCTCAGCAGCAGACGATAACCTCGGAACAATCTTCTCAGAACACCGTGGTTCAGACCATGGTGATCACCTCCGTTAACGACCTCACGTCCACCGCTTCCACCACCGTCATCACCACCCTACAGACGCTGAAGCCTACTTCCCCATCCACTCCCTCCCAACCACCCTCAGAGAAGACCGGCTCGTCGACCGGCATTGGTACGTACACATCGTCTCGATCAAGCCTCCAGTCGTCCTCATCCTCCTATTCACCCGCGCCACCCATTTCCTCAGTAAGCGCTACTTCTGCAGCCGATCATGCTTCAAGTACGACGTCTGGCGGCGCCGTCATTACTTTCACCGAGACCGGGGCAGGAGCGACGGTGACTCTCAACAACCAGTCGGTACCCTCGGGCGCGCCTAATGGCGCAGCGACCGACTCCGCTGCGCACTCCGGGATGAACTCCGGCGAGATCGCGGCGCTGTGCGTAGCCACTGTCGCGGTCTTGATACTATCCATCATCATCTACCTCGCGTGGCGGAGGAGAACGCGGCACGGGCTTGAATCCGCGCTGAGCCATTCTCGTACGTCCCCTACGTCCGCGTTTTCACGCTACCATGTTGGTCTCATTGGGTCTTCGTGCAACAAAGCTTCTCCCGCGTCCAGCAACCTTCAGACACGCTCGACCGACATCCTCCAAACCCCGCACGTGTATGGGATGCTCCCTGAGTATGTTGTGCACCAGGACATCGGCGCTATGAACGTTGACCTCGAAGCTGGCCGCGCGCGCGCGCGGTCGGCGACGACGCTGCTCGCCCCAAGCGCGGAGTCAAAGCCGCTCGACTCACTCTCGGTGTGCTCCCCTGCGGCCGGCCCGGACGGCTCGCATGAGCATGAACAACGAGTGACGCCGTGCAACGAAAAAGCAGCGCTCCATCCCGACTGGTTCAGTTCGACTGCGAGCGAGTCCACCCACGCCTCCACCGCGCACGATGACACCGTATCGCCCTCCCCGCGCTCGTCAACGTTCCTCCTCCGCAATGGTTCCTTGCTCTCCAGCGCTCCTACCGTACGGTCCCCACCTGCGTCCTATCTCGCTGGCGCGCCTTCAACAGAGTCGACCCTCATGTTCTCGCCGATATCGATCAGCGGGTTCAGCTCTTACCCCGCGTCGACCGTGACGACCTCGCCCACCGCGCTCTCCTCCGCGCCCCTCCCGCGCGCGGCTGACGTGGCGCCGCAGATACCTTCGCGGGCAGCGTTCGCGCTCGCCTCGCTCGCATTCTCACCTGCGTCCCCGCTCACGCCATCGCACGCTTCCGCAAGATCCGCCGTGCCCTTCCACGCTCTCTTTTCCTCCTCCTCACTATCGCCGCCCCTCGCGCCGACCGCGTCCTCGTTGCCCCCGCTCCCCGAACACCCCGCCACGCATGCGCACCCGTTCCCCTCACCCGCGTTCCCCTCCCCCTCTCCCTCAGGCTCGCCGCTTGCCCCACCACCCACTTCGCCGTACGCGTGGGATCGGCCGCCGCCGAGCTCCGAGTACCTCCCTGGGTGGTCCAGCCGGCGCGCGACGCTGCGCTCGGTGCGCTCGACGGGCACGCGCTCGTCCGCCGGGTACCCGTCCCCGCCGTACGCGGTAGGAGACCAGGATTTCGACCTCGCCGCGCTCGCGGCAGCGGTCGGCGCGCGGCGGTGGGACGCGGAAAGAGACGCGAGGAGCGAGCGGAGCGCGTTGCCGGCGTACAGCCAGTATTGAAGAGGCTCGAGTTGTCGATTTAGGGTGGAGAAAGTATATACACGACGATGCGTGGGCGCTGGGACGCTCGACGGCGGGTACGGGTGCTCGAAAGTCGACGTGGGTGTGTAGCGCTGTGTTGTAGAGTAAAACTGTTTATATCTCCCCTGGAGACATTCATACGCTGTGAGAGTTATGAACTGCTGAATCGATCTATGCTCTGAATATGGGCCTATGATCAAACTTGAATCGAATTCGATTCGACTCGATTCGGACCGCTGGGAATTCATCAGCGCTACTTGTGGCGGCAGCACTTTTCTGCTGACCTCTACTTACTTACCTCTGACATCTTCCTCATATATGCTGGATCTTTCTTGCGTCTACCTCACTCTGTCATTCATCGAAGGGTACAAGCCTCGGTGATGTACCGCTGCAAGTGCACAGGCCACCCACTTCGCAATCTCGCGCCGCAGCCAGCCCGCACCGACGCGCGAGACCTGCGCGCAGAGAGAATCGGGCGCACAATGTATTGCCATTTGTCATGAAGATGTCCAGGTATGTTTCGCCCTTTTACATCGACCCGCCCTGTCCCGAACGTTCTCTCGACACTGCATCGGAATCAAGCGTCGCTCCCACGTCGTTCTTGCCATCATGAGTTTCTGCCCTATCCATGCCGTCGCTGCAGATCTCCCATGCGCATCTCAGCACGCTCTGTTGGGATCTGAGCTGCTCCACGAGGCCCGGGATGAGAACTCGCATGGAGGCCACGCGATCGTGCCAGCGGCAGCCGCTGCTGTTCAGGAAGTATCGGTCATTGGACGACGCCGCCCCTTTCCAGGGACATGAGTGACGATCCTCTTGTGCCTCGGCAAGCTTGAGCTTGAGGCATCGTTGCTTGTTATGCGTCTCAGAGTCTTCGTGCTAATGCCCTCACTAGCTCGCATACGCAACCATTCTTTCCTTTGTAGTGTAAACGAAGACCTAGGGCTTGACTGCAAGTAGCAGCGGTCGTGGAGATGCCGCTCCAGGACGCGTCATATCTCGACTGAGACGTCAATGATCAGCCCAACACCGATCCCGGCGAATCCGGGTATGTACTCGTCGACGCATGCACAGTCTATCACTGATGATGCATTCCCAAACAGCTCCGACGGGCGCCGCAGGCTCTCGGCGTCGTGCGCGTGGGCGTTCCTCGTGCGCAGTTCAGCGCTCAGCATCCGTCTCAGTCTTTGTTTTTCGCAAGCTTCCGTGACAGTGAGTCGTGGATTCCGGCAGCCCTGCCTGTGGATGTTAGAGCAGTGCCCTCCGAAGCGTTCGAACGTAATAGCATGCTGTGCTCCTCGGCAGATGTGCGATGGGTTTATAGCGGGCGTCTCCGAAAGGGTCCCTCCCCGGGCTCGCAAGCTTCCCTCTCTGTCTCGCGGCTGCCTTCTCTCTCCTCCACTTTGGCATCTGTCACTTGCATCCACCTGCTCCTTCCTCGCCACATCCTCGACGCCCGCACTTCCCGCTTCCTGCCCCATCAAACAGTGACAGTTGCGCCGCTTTCTAGGTGTCCCACGCGGTGCTACAGAAGGGATGTTCCTGTTGGAGTTCGGCGCCAGAGGTGCAACCTCGGGCTGCTTGCTTTGGTAATTGTGTAGCTATAGTGCTCGCCATCTGATATAGCGTAGATGATTTATATATATATATATATCTCCATCGCCTGTACCGTACGCTACGCGTTTGCTCCTATCCACCACCATCTCCCGCGCATCCGCCGTCCGTCCGCCTGTCCCCGGTGCCCAGAGGAGCCCAAGCGCGACGCCCTCACCCTCCGACCTGTCCCGATCGCGTCCTACGACCCCGAAATCCCACAGTTCCGCCAGCCGGGAGTCTCGCGAGATAATTCTTCCCTTTTGAAGCTTGATATCATAGTGTGTACGCGATGGTGCAGAGGCTGGTATCAAGGGGTATCACGGTGACAGTGGATGACGTCGATCCGTCGATCACGTACAGCGCTGGACAGTGGTCAAGGAACTCGAACAGCGCAGACGAACTGTTCAGTACGGTCACAAAAACCGTGACTTTTGGAGCTACCGCAAGCTATGATTTCACGGGTACGTCCGTTTCCCGCCTGATCTCGTCACCACGTCTTCGCAGCCTCGCAATATCTCTCCTTACACCTGCGAACGCTCATCTCGCGCATCCTCGGCTTCGTGTCGTGTAGGCACAGCCATCTGGGTGTACGGTCAAAGAATCGTGGGATCGCAGATCAATGCCTCCTTCCTTCTCGACGGCGAGAACGTATCCTACATAAAGGACATCACGGAAAATCTTGAACAGCACAAAGTCCTCTTCTTCAACAAGGCGAACCTTACCGATAGCAACCACAGCCTTCTCATCACAAACTTCGGTCAATCGCTTTACCTCGACTTCCTCCAGGTCACCGTAGACGGTGCTTTGCAGTCCTCTTCGACGCGAGACCCCGGAAGCTCCGCCCAGACACCCACCACTTCCACATCTCCTGGCGATGCAGGCGGCCGCGGCAAGCTTAGCTCCGGCACAATTGCGGGGATCGCTGTCGGCGGTGTCGTGGTTGTGCTGCTCTTCGCGCTCGCGTTGTGGCTGTGGGCGCGGCGCGCGTGGAGGCGCCGTCCGATGAGCCAGAAGGTCCTCACCCCCTTCGCTGGAGGTACGCACAACGCCCCCTTCCTCTCTTCCAATTCGCTCATCGCAACTCGCAACGGCTCCCCAGTCGAAAATGACGGCACACAAAACCCAAGCCCAGGTGCGGGCACGTACGACATCGACCCGCACCGGCGGCGCGCGACGCCCCCAAGCGCGATCCCCTCGTACGGCTACACGCGCACGAAGCGCATCATCCCGGACTCCTCCACCTCGACCGCGTTTCTCGTCCCCACTGTGGGGAGCTCGTCACCCGGGTACGGGCATGGACGGGACTCGCCCCCGCTGGCGTCTGGGCTGCGGTATGAACCACGGATGAGCGGGACTACCGCTGCGGACGCGGCAGGCCCGTCTTCGCATAGCCGTGGGGTGCGTCCGGAGTCGACCGTGCTGTCTTGGACGGGCGCGGACGTCGCGACGGAGTACGCGGGCTCCAGTGAACCTGGGCCGTCGGCGCGGGCGCAGGCGTGGGCTCCGTCGCCTCCCCCGACGCTCCCCCCGGCATCGTTGCCGCCGCCACGTTCGCGAGAAGCCAAGGCGAGGCGACCGCGCGCGCAAGGGAGCAGAACGGGACTGTCGACCCGGGACTCGGTCGACGGCGGCGTGCGGGTCGCAGGTGGCCCGCCGCAGGTGGAGGGGCGCGCGCCGCCGCCTGGGATGCTGTGGGACGAGGCGTCGGAGAGTTGGGTGGGGAGACCGCCGCCGTACAACATGTATTAAGTTTTGTGGTGGTTTTCCCGGTGCTTGCTCGATTCAACTGGAATCTTCGTTCCATGGGCACTGAGATCTTGAGACCCATGTTTTCTGCATGTCTTGTCTGTCGTTCGCGCGTACTTACCATGACCATACAAGAACCTTACACGAGCTGAGATTGAGCGGGAATGCGCTCCGAGGGGACAGGCTCGACCCTGACCCGGATGTTTCGCGCGTTCACTCTTCACCAAGCACACATAGTGATGCCAACGAACATACGACCTCAAGGCCTCATGTGCGACCGAATTGCGCTCGATGCAGCGCGTCCGCTGCGCGATCACCGCGCTCTGGCAAGCTGCGCGGAGACAGAAAGGCTGGATGGCGATTGGCGGCGAAAGTCGCTCAAGCGGCGCCCCAAATCGATGCGCTCCTGCGAGCAACAGCTCAGCGCCTCCATATGCTCTCCACACGACCACCATGTCCATAACCCCCTCCGTATCATCCTCCTCCCCCTGGCCAGGACCAGCGTAGCCGCCGGGCCGACCACGCGCGCGGATTGGGCGCGCATGGTTCGATGATTGATGGCCGTGGTTCGGCGCGAGTATCGTGCGATGAGCGCAGATCGGAGCCGGCGTGGACAATGGAATGCGGGGAGCGTTCCATGCGCGACGCGGCCTCCGTCCAACTCGAACGTGAGCGACGCTCGTCCTGTCCTCCTCCTTCCCTCACCACCCTTTGCGACACCCTCACCCCATTCCCGCCTTTCCACCTCTCACGACTGCGCTTTGACGAACACGACAGCGAACACGAACACGAACCAAACGAACTCCTCCGCGACAAAGACACCCAGCCCACACTATGGTCAGCAAGGCCGTCCTCGCCGTGCCCGGGCTCGGCGTTGCCGTCCTCGGTGCGATCATAGCCGCCTTTGCCTCCTTCTACTCTTGCTACTGGACCCCGCGCAAGGCCCGCAAGGCCAAGGAGAAAAAGTTGGAGATGGGGCACTCTGGTACGCCTTTCTGTCCTGGCCCTCTATTCTGCGCGTATCACGCATATACCCACATCCGCCCGCAGCGCCGCTGGTGCCCATTATGAAGAACGCCTACGTCGACAACCCCGCATACATTCTCGCGTCCCCCGCGCCCTCGCGCGCGCCGACCCTCCCGCCTAAAGACAAGCACATCCGCACGCTCTCCAACCCGCCCCTGCCGCTCTACCACTCCCGCTCGCCCCCGTCGACGCACACGTCCCGCCAGACACACCGCAACTTCGCACCGGTCCCGCCGCCCACGGCGCACCCGCGAGGGTACGCCCGCCCACCCACCGCCGGCCCCAGCGCGGTTCCCAGCGTGGAGTACACCCACCCGCACCCGCACGCAGCGCCATACTTCCCCGCGCCCCTCCCTGCCCCGCTCCACCGCCAACCGCGGCCTCAGTTCCAGGCCTTCGCCGCCGCCGGCCCCGCGCAGCCGCGCACGAGCAGCTTCGACGAGGGACGCGATCGCTCCCTGCCGGACACGCGCTCCGCGCAGTGGTCGTCCGCGGCGTCGTATGGGGGGATGTCCCCGCACTCGCAGCTGAGCGCAGGCACGATCCCGGACCTCGGCCTCATCCCGAGCTCGTCCCAGATCCGGCAGCAGCTCACTGCGAACCCGCTCCCGCGGCCCCCGGAGGACCGTGCAAGGACGATCGTGCGCGCGGCGCCGACATCGGCGGCTGCGACTGCGTCGGACAGGTTGGTGGCGGCGGCGGGTAACGGCGGGCAGCGATATGGACACGGGCGGTCTGCGTCGCGCGACGGAGCGGCGACGAGGGAGACGGGGAAGGCGAAGGAGAGGCGGCGGTCATCCGTGGACCGCGAACGGGAGGGTGAGCGACGCGAGCGGCGCAAGTTGAGGCGGGAGTCGGCCCGGACTGGTTCGCGTGACGGGAGCAGCACCGGACACGGGCACCACGACAGGGTCTGAAGTGCGCAGTATGCGCTCGGTGTCTTGAGCGGCGAGTGCGCGGGTGGGCGGCGCAAGACGGAATGTGGGGGAGCCTGGTTAGGCGGATCAGACCAATTGTTATATGATGAACAACCCTGGGTTGAAGACAGGCGAAGACGGGCGAAGATTGCAGTGTCGATGGGAGTTGGAGAAGAGTTAAGAGCAGGGTGAGTCCCGCCGGTGCTAGCGCGTTCCTGGTCTTACTCCGGACAGCGCTGACCGATACGGTTTCTGTGTCATAATTGCAGGTGCACATATGTTTGTGCTCTATACAGTCCAGAAGATAGCCTCGTATGTACGACGCGCAAGCAGGTCTTGACGGCCATCACATCTCTCTCGAAGCAGTAAAGCGTTGTCTTCTTCTCCCTCGGGGCCCCTTCGCGCACTCGCACGGTGCCAAGTAGTCAATGCACACACGCAGGTGTGCGATGCGCCCAGTGGACATTGTGCGTCCGCCATCGGCTATCGATGATTGCTTGGTGGAACAAGACAGCGTCGTGGACGTGCGCAGCCGAGATGGGCGGGATGCCGTGACGGTCCCGTCCACGGCCGCGCTCGAAGGGGATGCGAACGACGTAGAGTGCCTTCTCAGATCGTTTCCCATCGCACCCGCACCCTCACCGCACCTTCCCCCGTATCTCAGCGCTCAGCGCTCAACTCTCAGCTCTCGGGGGAACCGCGGCCAACGGCCGCTCAATGGGCGGGCTGTGGGAGCGTTGTGGTCGGGCGATCAGCGCGCCTGTCGCCCGCCCCAGCCGTCTCATCATATGTTGGCGAAGGGTCAAGTAGCCCGCCCCCGCCCGCGCGCCGCTCATTTTCTGTCCCTCTCCGCCCTGTTTGAGACCGCCCTCTGCGTCTCGGGTTTCCCGGACGCTCATCGTCACTCTTTCTGTGCCACGTTACGCTGACGACCTTCGCTTTCCTGCGTTGACCGCCTCGCACGGCGTGACTTCCGCTTTTCTGCTACCCTCTGTTCTTTTTGCAGCAATAACACTCAGGATCTTCCATAGGCGACGCGGCGGGATGGGCACACCAACACTTGTCGTCGCAATTCCCGTCCTTGGTGTCGCCGTCATCTGCGCTGGTGCCCTCCTCGTCGCCTCCTACCTCAAGCCAGGTCGGGAGTGCACATGCCTCCGCCGCCGCCGCCATGGCTCGCTCAGGGTAGACGGGAGTCGGAGTCGAAGGGGCGACCGAGGTGCGCATTATCGCCGGCGTTCCTTCTGCGCAGCTTCCTTAATTTCCCCCTCCGGTGCATTCAGTGTCCCCACGAGAGTACTCCCCGATGTCCTACACTGCGTCCGTTGTCCAGAGCTTTGTCAAACCCGACGAGGAAATCGGGGAGGTGCATGCCGGCGTCCCACTCTCCTGGGCGCCCGCTCCCTCGTCTCCCTACTCCCCCAGCTCCCCTCACACATACCCCAGCTCCCCCGCGCTTCCCCCGTCAGCGCACTCGCCACTCAGCCCCGACTTCGACTTCCCGCTCGTCCCGAACCGGCTGCACGCCGTGCACTCGGTGCACTCCCTACACTCCCTACACTCGCTCCAGCTCCAGCTCTCCCCGCCCGCGTCTGCAGACCCGAGTCCGCTGAGCCCCGGCGCAGTCTCCCCAACCTTCCTCTCTGCGGCACTCGGGGGACCGGGGACGGAGATCCAGCGCGCACGGCCGCAGAGCAGCAACACGTCCGCGGCGAGCCTCAGCCAGAGCCTCGCGGCGAGCGCGAGCTCGGTGGCGTCTACGGGCACTACGCCCTCTACTTCGAGCTCCTACGGACTGGGGACGGGGAAGGGGAAGGGGAGGGCGCGGGTCTCGGAGATACGCGCGCTGCCCATCCCGCCTCAGCGCGAGCCCGTGCCGCCCGTGCCGCGCTCCCCGCTCTCGCCCACCCAGACGCAAACCCAGACTCAATCCGCCGCAACGGCGTCGAGCCCATCATCATCATCCTTCCCATCCTCATCCTCATCATCGAATCCGGCTTCGACTCCCACTCCAGCGCCACCCTCCACCTCCCCGCCCGCGTCCGCGTCCACCCTCCACCGTCCGCGCTCGCCTTCGTCGTCCGCCCCAGCCGCGAACCCGGCGCGCTCGTCGATCTTCACCTCCGCCTCCTTCTTCTCCGACGACGGCATGTCCGTCGCCACCGGCACCTCCACCCTCCCGCCCTCCTACCGCGCGCGCCGCTCCATCTTCGAGCCCGCGGACGCCGACCTCGCGCTCCACCCGCTCCCGCCCCTCCCGCTCGCGACGCCCGCGGTGCCCAGCTCCTTTGCCGGCCCCCCTGCGCCCGCGCCTCCGAGCACGTACCCCAGCTCCGCTCCCCCGAGCGCATACACCGGCCCCGCGCCTCCGAGCGCGTACGCCGGACCCAGCGCGTTCCGCGACCCGAGCATCGCGTCCTCGACCGGCGGGGAGAGCCGGCGGAGCGGGGAGAGCGGCCGGCGGCGCGCGCGGGAGGCGTACCCGCGGCGGATCAGCGCGCTCATGGCGGCGCTGCACGCGCACGGGTGGGACCGGGACCGGGAAGAGGCCGGGGACGGGCAGGAGCAGGAGCGGCGCGCGCGCGGGGGCAAGGCGCGGCGGTCGCGCGATGGCGGGGTGAGGCTCGAGGGCGGGCCGGTGGGGTACGAGCGTGGGGCGGGTCGACGATCTTGATGCTTGGCTTGACTTTCGGGACTTGGAGGGTTGTGATTGTAAGTATTGTACTATACCCGCCGCCGCCGCGGACGTTGCACGACATTTTATCTCTGGGTTCACTTAATGGGGTGCGCCATGCGCCTGATGTACCGTATACATTCTGTTCACGGCGATTTTATCACGCATAGAGGGGACGCATGCGAGATGGGCGCTGCGCGGACACAGCGTACTTCGATATCGCGATGTCGAAGTACGGCGAGACGGCGCGCGTCGACGACAAGGCGTACTGCTTGTTCGAATCTTCCGACACTGTATGGTGAGGGTGGCAATGCGTTCTATCGCCTTCAAGAAGAGATCATGCGCACCCCTACGGGTCCCTCTCTCGTTGTATGGGCGTTCTATAAAAATATGCGACACACGATCGGGGACTTGATGATTCTGGGCTCTCGATGTTTGATGCTTCTCAGATAGTGGTATTTTCGCGTGTGAGAGGACGGATGCCCCTCCAGTCAAGAGACAAGCGGCCGTGTTCTGGCGGCTGTGCCACAGAGTTCTAAGTTCACCCCAGGTACATCTATCACTTATAACACAATCATGCCCAGAGCTGTAGATGTCTCCGGGACCACTTCGTCACGGAAGAAGATCTTGCGCCTGCGCTTGATGACTCAATGACTTTTCATATACAGTTCCGCGTGCCGTTCCTTATGCTTCTTTATCAAAACCGAGTCGTTGGACGCCCAGATAAACCATACCGTGTGCGCCCGTGGCGGCCGAGCCGCAGTGAGCACGCACGTAGGGCGGGAAGAAGTAGAAGAATCCATTATGCATCTCGTCTGAGACAGTATGCACTGGTGGGTACTTTCATCACGAGGCAGTGGTTTTGTGGGTGCTATCATCAAGAACTACGGGAGTGGGAATGCGCGTGGTCAAAGGTAGAAGGTCTCCGCTATCACCATCGCTAAAGTGCGAGGCCCAGGAATTTGATTGCAGGATACTTTTCACGCAATGTGGAAATGAATGTGGGGGCAGAACCGAAGGATGGCCCAAGTATGTTACTTCACCTGCTCGTTGAATCTACACAATTCTAAGTCGGCACGAATTAGCTCGCCATACGATCAGAAAGAACTGACGGACATCACAAACCCAGCTATGGATTCATCGCTAAGAATGATGGTCAAGTGCCTCTTAATAGTAACGTACCGGAGAACTCAAATCAGCTGCTCTCCTCGTCCCCTCTCGCTCTTTAAACCCGGACAGATGAGCGACATATTCGCCAAGTTGGACGAAGATGCTCTCGTTCTCATATTCGGTCTTCTCCAGAGTACGGATGCTTTATCTGTGGCTTTGACCGCCAAACGCGCATACCGGCTTGCGATTCCTCATGCATTTTCGGCTATGACGGTCACCTTCGACCACTGCCATCCACAGCTGCGTCAGGGTCTTCTCTCAATGCCTCTCTTGTGTCGCTTTCCCAGGGTCTCATACCTACGCCACCTCACCATCCGCATTCACTGCTGTCACAACAGCCTCTATACAGCATTTTCAGCCACCTTTGTCGACACCCTGCCCCTGCTCCGAGAAACCCTACGGTCTTTCGCAGCAGAGTTTGACCTCGAGTATGTCCTCGCGGAGAACAAACAGGTCGCGAAGGCTTTGGAAGATCTTACCCGGCTACACACACTGAAGCTTCAGGGCGTCGGTGTGCACGTTTTGCACTGGTTACACTCCTTCCCCCACACCGCGTCTATACAGCATCTACAACTCGAATATCATAGGACATTATGGCACGACACAAAGAGGATACCATGCCCAGACAGTCAAGAGCCCCCATCCCCTCCTCCGTTAGCGAGAATCCTCGCGCGCTTTCCCCGGCTGCGCACCTTGCACCTCACCGCCAAATCGCTTGTCGGAACATATGTCTCTCCGACAGAGCCCGGGGTCCACGAGATACGGCCGGAAGAAACCCTCCACGCCCTACAACATATCTCCATCACGTCCGACTTCGGCCCCGTCTCCGCGCTCGACCTCGTCCCGCGGTGCCCAAACCTCACCACGCTCTCATACGACTCCACCCACCCCTGCACACACTTCTCCTACCCAAACAAAGCGCCCTGGCCGCCCCTCCGCGAGCTACACCTCGGGAGCGACACGCACGTCCTGCTCCCGAAGATGCAGCCCGCGCCGCGCATCGTCAGCGTCCACCGCCTCACGATCAACGCCTCCACGCTCAGCGCCGCCTTTCTCCCGGCGCCCTCGCACTATCTCACCGCGCTCCTGCGCTCGACGCGGCCCGCAGCGCTCCTCGTCGCCGGCGCATACACCAACGACGCAAAGCTCAGCGGAGACCCCGCGTGGGCGCCCGTTCTCCGGGCCGAGGGCACCCGCCTGCGTTCGCTCGAGCTCGCCGCCACGACGCTCAGCGCGATCGAGCCGGTGAGCTCTTCTGCCACAACAGACCTGAGGCCGACCGCGTAGACTAACCGACCTCTCCGTCTGACAGGCCGTGCTCGTCTCCGCGTTCGTCGGCCTCCCGCTCGTTTACCTCGGCTGGACGCAGACCGGGCACGCGCACCCCGGACGGGACTGCCTCCCCCTCGAACCCGCGCGCGTCCGCACCGCGCACACGCTATCCACGCTGCTCGTGGACGCGCTACCCGCGCTGTGCGTGCTCAAAGTCGGATGCATGTTTTCCGCAAGCGTCGTGGAGGACGCTGAGGACGGGGAGCTGCGGGAAAGGCTGAGCTTGGCCGGCGACGAGGCCCCAGCGCGCGGAGAGCTTCAGGAGTTCAGAGGGGTGCAGAGAGGGGTGCGGTGGTGGATCGTCAAGCGGGGCGGCGATGGAAGAAAGATGGTGGAAGTGTGGCGAGAGGTAGGCGAGCGGGCGAAGGAGGTTGTCGAGAGCGACGGATTTGATCCCGAGAGCAGCGCCTTGGATGGTGAGTGTGCCTCCGACTGTGCGCGTCGTTGAGGGCGAGCGCTGAGCGCTGACTGCTCCGCCCTTCAGAGTTTTTCGTGCCTAGAAACGTGTATCAGCTGTAGCATCATGGGTATTCGTACCGAGTCAACCGCCGTTAGAGAGTGAAAGAAAGCAACTCTGGACTGGTAAGTGGCTGACACAACCGGTCTTCCTCACACACGCTGGACGTGGGACATCTCCAACATGCAGTGCTAATGACTAATCTAACATTTAGTCGGAGACCAGAGCTGCAGGAATGTGGCGATGGCTTCACAGACTCCGCTTCAAATCCGTGCGCTAAAATTTCATCCCCGGGCCCCGGCCCCCGGGCAGATGCTTCGGTATCACCCCTCCACCACCCCATCGCGACTGAGTTTCTAATATGAAGGAGCTATTCAGTCTCAACGAAGATGTGCTGCTGCTTATTATCGACTGTCTCTTGGACAAGGATGTTTGGTTGGTGGCTCTTATTGTTAAATACGCCTACCAACTCGCAATCCGTCGTTTCTTCTCCACCATGAAGGCCAGAATTTCCGGTGACTCCGCGTTGCAGGCAATGGAACAAGCCCTCCTTGCGATCCCGCTCTTATTCCACGTCCCACGAGTGTCATACCTGCGCCGCCTCTCTATCTCATGCGGTAGCGCTAGTTACCGATCCTTTTCCACCGTCTTTATCAACTTCCTCCCTCTCCTCGTCAATCTAGAGCGATTTGAAGTAAACTTCGACATGGAACATTTTTTCGCAGTCTGCCCGCAGGTCGCACAAGCTCTGAACAGTCTCACAGGTCTGCGCACACTCGGGATCATTGGCGTCGGCAAGCGGGTTCTTCGCTGGTTGGATTCATATGCCGGCGTTGCGTCTGTCGAATACATGGGTCTCTCCTTTAGAACTGGTTCATGGACAGAAACAACAGACATTGCTGCCACGGCAATGCCAGCGATTCCCCCTCCCCCTCCGTTGGCGACAATATTAGGCCGCTTCCGCTTTCTGCGCTCCCTCCGCCTTTCCATTAAAGATGTTGTTGGGGGATTCGTCTCTGAAAACCGTTCCCGATCTCTGGCGATCCCGGCCGAGGAAACGATACCAGCGCTACGCACTATTTACATCGCATTCGACATCGGATCCATCTCCGCGCTCGACCTCATTCCGCACTGCCCCAACCTCTCCAGGCTCACGTACATTGTGACTGGATGCCCACCTCTCTCCCAACCCACCCGGGCGCCATGGCCCCTCATCAAGGAGCTGCACTTGAGCATGTTCCGGAGAAGATGCTTCGCGACGCTGCAGCCCATGCCGCCCATCGGCCGTGTCCACCGCCTCCGGATCGACCACTGTTTGTTCGACTACGACCTGGACCATTTGCAGCGATTCTTGGCGCTCCTACGCACCACCCAACCGTCCGTGATCAACGCTTCCGGTGCACCCCGGGGGTGGACGTCAGCCCCTCTTGCCATCGATGTTAAGTGGATGACAGCAATCCAGTCGGCCTGTCAGGTCTGTCTACGCTCGCTAGATCTCACCATCACGCCAACAGCCGTTTTCCAGCCGGTGAGCCGCGTCCCCCCGCACTCATAAGTAGCAGGGCATTACTTACGCGACCGCGCAGACCGAGATCGTCGGCTCGCTCACAGGCCTCCGTCTCATCCATCTCGGCGCGACGTTGGCGGACCGTTCTTCGCTGGGCCCGGGCAAGCTCGAGCTCCGTGTCGAGGAAGCGCGCGTCCGAGCCGCCCGCGCGCTGCCCTTGCTCCTCGTGGACGCGCTCCCCACGCTCCGGGTGCTCCGGGTGGGCGGGATGGTGCCCATGCTCGACGCGTTGGCCGCAGAAGATGCGGACCTGCATGCCCGAGTTCGTGCGGGAGCGCTTGGTTCACTCTTTCCGACCAATTTCGAGGAGCAGTTCGAGGCTCGGCGGAACCTGCGGGAGCTCGCTGCGGTCCCGATGCGGGACACGCGGTGGTGGATGGTGGAGCATGACGGAGAGAAGAGAAGGATGGTGGAAGTTTATTCAGACGTGGCTGAGCGGGCGAGGGCGGTCGTGGAGAGCGAAGAGTTTGATCCTGGGAGTGTCAGCTGGGATGGTGAGTGCGGCTTTGGATCCGCCTATCGCTGGATGTGCTGACAGCTGCTTGCTGTAGTGTTCTTCGCACCGAGATACGTTTATCAGCCATAAAGTATCTCCTGGAATGGTTTTCTTCACTCGAAGCTAAATGGTCTTGGTTCTCTGTGACTACGGCATCGTTTCAGGACCGATGCGGCTTCTTACCATACACCGCGATGACGTCATACTCATGCTGGCCGCCGGCCCATCACGTGCAATGTTAGCGTTCTGTCTGCGTTGCTTCCGTCACCAGCTGACTCTTATTGCAGGACGCGTGCCAACTTTGGGCTGTGGCTAGAGGGTGCTGCAGCTTATCTTCCATCCGGGAGAAGGTCGCCTGCATCTCATATAGCCCAGCAGGAGCCAGGTCTTTCGTGCGCTTCCGAGCCCTCTTCGACGTCCGCGATGCTCATCAGTACCCTCCTCTCTCTTGCTCAGGTCATGCGCTTTATGGGAGACATGCTCACTGTAGTTGATTTCATGCATCCGTCCAAGGAGGGAGACAGGATCATGGTGGACTAAGTTAAGTGTTCGCGCAGTGCGTCGAGGACTGATGAGGTCATTGTCGATGTTTCTCACATGAACGTGCTTTGGAAGACGACTCAACCAGCATATTGCGGCGTCGGGATTTCCTCTCCATCGAGATTAACAGGTAAGGAACAGGCACGATCGACAGCGACGCAGGGGTGCTTGACCCCAGGACGGCGGCGAAGATAACCAACTGCGCTCATCGAGATGCTGCTAGTCGCTATCATGTGTGCAGCCCTCCCAAGACACATGCAGTGGAGATACCCGCAGAAAAAAGCAATCATTCGGCATGGTCCTTCTCTATCGCGGCAGCACATCCACGGCTCGAACTTGGAGTACACGGCTCCCACCTTTGATCCAACGGGGCACCCTCGAGTGCGTTATCACCGTGCATTGATGATTGTTCGCCGCGTTTAACGTCAGGTGAGCTTCTTGTGCTGAATGAATTGAAGTGGACCGTGTGCTCATGACATGCCACATCTTCTGTGGGCTTCCCGACCCGAATCCTAAGCTTAGTACCTGGTTCTCCGCCCGCAAATTCCAGCTGCAGCGCCTTCGCGTGGAAAGGCAGGAACGGAAGACGAGATAAAGAGTGATATGTGCGCGGCCTCGCGGTGCGGGTGGATGCGGCGCGGGCGGGCCGGGACCAGGCGGCTCAGGCACACCAGTGGCCGATAGGAGATTGGCGACGGCCGCGCTGGCACAAACGCTTCTTGGCGGTTCGTTTAACTTATCGTCAGACACTAACGTTGCTGCCAGGGCGCCGCGACTTATCTCAATCATGGTGGGAGGACGCCAGCTGGAACTAAGCCAGACGAGCTCTATCATGTGGCTGGCCAACAAGGACGATATAATGGCACGCACGCCCCGGTGACCCCCAGGGACCTTCCCCCCGTCGATCCTCCCATGGCTGACCCTGTGACCACCGTGCCGACGCTCGACGAGAAGCAGTCAGACAATGTCTCGCTCGAGAAGACAGACGCCGTCGACGACGACGCCCGCATGGCCAAGGAAGTCGAGGAGTTCGAAGAGCGCCTCGAGCGCGACGAGGCTGCCAACGAGGAGTACCTCGTCCAAGAGGCTTACGAGGTCGCGATCAAGGTACGTTTCTCCTCTACCCTCTCCCGAATACCACTCAGCGTCCTCGGCGCAGGTCTTGTCCACCCGCGACGACCCTTCGCTGAATCCCCTCACCTTCCGGACCTTCTTCCTCGGGTTGGGTTTCTCAGCCTTCGGCGCGTGAGTAGCCTTTAGCCTTCCCCGATTCCCACCCTCTCATCTGGTGTGCTTTGCCAGCGTACTGGCCCAGATTTATTGGTTCAAGCCGCAGACCCTGAACGTTTCGACTCTGTTCCTGCTCGTGCTTTCCTACTGGCTTGGCACAGCCATGCATTACAGTCTACCGTCCCATGGAATCTTCCGCTGGATTAACCCCGGCCCCTTCAACGGTACGTCTGCGCCTCTGATCCCTCCGTTTCACGCGTTCATGATCGGTGCACAGTCAAGGAGCATGTGGCCATCATCATCATGTCCTCCAGCGCGGCCACCTCCGCCACGGCCATCCAGATCATCTCCGTTCAGGACCGTGAGCAGCGCCTCCGTTCGCTCCTCTATTACCGTGACTGACGGGCATCGCAGTGTATTACAGTAACCGGCTCAACGCTGGTCTCGCTATCTTTATCCTCATCGGCTCACAGCTCCTTGGCTACGGCTTCGCGGGCCTTCTCCAGGACATGCTCGTCCGTCCCACCAAGTGCTTCTGGCCCGCTACGAGTGCGTAACGAGCGATCCATGTCTGCACGTAACGCTGATCGCGTCTTGCAGTCTCGACGGCCAACCTGTTCCAGGCTCTGCACTTCGACAACCAGATGACGTCGAAGCGCGTCCGCCTCTTCTGGACGCTCTTCCTCGTCATGTTTGTTTGGGAGATCATCCCTCAGTGTACGTTCCTTCTCTTCTCCAATCCAGCCGCCCTGACACACGTTCCCAGGGATCTTCCCGCTACTCACTGGCGTCTCCATCTTCTGTCTCGCCGCGAACCACAACCCCGTTATCCGTAACATCTTCGGCGGTGCGAGCAACAATGAGGGCATGGGTCTCCTCGCGTGGTGCTTCGACTGGAACCTCATCGGCTCCAACTGCCTTTTCAACCCTCTTTGGCTGCAGCTCAACGAGGACATCGGCATCTTCTTCACGTACATCCTCATGGCCGGCGTATACTACGGCAACCTCTGGCGTGCGAAGGACTTCCCTTTCATGTCCCAGGCCATATTCGTGAGTCTGCACAGTCGTTGTCGACGCCCAGAGTCACTGAAACGTCTACAGGCCGAGGACGGCACGCAGTACAACCAGACCGCGCTCCTCACAAACGGCAAGTTCGACCCGGCCAAGTACGCGGAGCTCGGACCCGCGTTCTTCTCCGCCACGAACGCGCTCGGCTTCATGACCTCGAACCTCTCGCTCGGCGCGACGTTCACCCACGTCTTCTTCTGGCACTGGCAGGACATCAAGCCGTTCCTCAAGACGTTCAACCCGTGGAACAAGGAGGAGTTCGTCGTGCACGACGCGCACTACGAGAAGATGAAGGTCTACAAGCAGATCCCCCGCTGGTGGTACTTTGTGCTCCTCGCCGCCGCCTTCGCGATCGCGCAGGCGACCAACTACGCCGCGCACTCGCACCTCCCGTGGTGGGCGCTCATCTGCATCCTCCTCATCTCGCTCGTCATGAGCATGCTCTTCGCGACGCTCGCCGCGACGATCGGCTTCAAGGAGTTCAGCTCCTCCGCGAACTCGTTCTACCAGATGATCATCTCCTACATGGTCCCCGGCGACCCGATCGCGAACCTCTACGGCGCGCTCTACGGCCAGCACCCGCAGGGCCAGTGCATCGCGATGCTCCAGGACCTCAAGCTCGGCCAGTATACCAAGCTCCCGCCGCGCGTCACGTTCTCGATGCAGATCATGGGCACCGTCGTCGGCGCGATCCTCAACTGTGCGTCCCGCTTCCCGCTTCCCTCTCCCTCGCGCGCGCGCTGACTCCCGCACAGACATCATGATGATCACCATCATCGACGCCCAGCGCGCGGACCTGCTCACGATCGCCGGCACGCGCCTCTGGTCCGGGCAGAACGCGCAGGGCTTCAACACGAACGGGATCTCCTGGGGCGGGCTCGGCCCGCAGATGTTCGGCGTCCACGGCGTGTACCACATCGTCCCGATCTGCCTCGCGATCGGCGTCTTCACCCCGCTCCCGTTCATCGCGGCGTGGTACATCTGGCCCAAGGCCGGGTTCGAGAACTTCTCGGCCCCGATCATCCTCCAGTACTCGTGCTACCTCGCCGTCGGGATCAACACCCAGGTGAACCCGTCGATGGCGATCGGCCTCTTCTCGCAGTGGTGGGTGCGCACGCGCTACCCGCGCTGGTTCACCAAGTACAAGTGAGTCATCGTCGTCGCCTTCCGTGTGGCAGATGCTGACGCGCGTTCCCAGCTACATCGTCGCCGCTGCGCTTGACGGCGGCACGCAGGTGATCTCGTTCATCCTCAACTTCGCCGTCTTCGGCGCGAGCGGCATTCCGCACTCGTTCCCCGAGTGGTGGGGCAACGATCTCAGTCTCTCCACCGATCGGTGCATGCTCCCCGAGTAGGTTCCTCGGCGCGGAGTCGCACGTCCTCCTTTCGTCATTCCCTTTTGTGTTCTCCTCTGTCTTCCTTTCGCACACGCCGGATGTATGACTATTGTCGTTGTAGTTCACATTGCGATGTACACGCACGATTTCGTAATAAATAGAGACGACAGCCGTATGGGTTTTACGATGTTATCACGCCTGAGTATGCACGTACCTTGTAGCAACCGCAACCGTCAGGCTGTTCCAGCGCGTTAACCCGTACCAGTGCTCAAGAGAGTCGAAACTGTCCATCGAGAACTTCTATCAGCGCCGAGACAGCCTTCTCCGACTCCCTTGACAGACGTCAGCCCACAGTGGTCGCTCCGCGCTTCACCCGTCGGCGTTATCTCTGATTTCATGTTGTGACTTTGACGCTTTTTCGGGGGCGAGCTCGAAATACCACCTCATTTTTTCTCAGGGACTTCCAGCGACTCAAGGTAAGCGTCATGTCGTGAGGAAGTGGGTATACATGTTGATCCAAACGGAAGCGCTGCCGCTTCCTGATGCAGTGTGTCAATGTTTCATCCACAGTTTCCCGCTTGTTCCCGCTCTCGTTCTCACAGTTGACAGAACATCTTCATTCGGATCCGCCTAAAGGCCCAGCTGTCAATTCAAATACAAGGACGGTGGGAGTGATGCAAGCTGTTGCAGTACAAAGTATATAACCCAAGCACCCCCGATAACACCCGCCCCGGTTCGCCCACCACTGATTGCCTTGGACAAACCACGACTCCAGGATATTTCCTCTGGTTCTCGCTATCTCACGGACGTTATTCTCCCTAATCTTCTCCGTTGACTTTTCTCTATGTCGGATCCTCTCCAATCTTGCACCAACACAGGCTCTCCACCTTGTACGGATGACTCACAGTTCACGTTCACCGCATCGAGCGAGGAGTGGGGCCATATCACAATGCCGCCGGGGTTCAACGGGACGATGACTTGGACAGAGAGGGTAAACAACATCGGCTCCATGAGCTGGACAGGTGCGCATCCTGCCAGTTCTCGCCTCGGATGACCGTTCATACGTCCCCGTTCTCTGCTCGTTCGTCGCGTGCCGCATGCGCCGCCTAGGAAGCGGCATTTATGTGTACGGATGGTGGAATGGGCGCCCGGCCCACCCTAATGATCAAGCGCTCTTCGACATCGACGGCTCGCAAGAACAAAGCATCACGACTAACACCAGCAGCTTCGTCCTCCATAGGCCAAACAGGGACGACGGCCCGTCGCAGCTGCTGTACAGCGCGCAAGTTAGCCAAGGGGACCACGTGCTCCACTTCACGAACCAGGGATCCTTTCTCGGCATCGACGGCTTCCGGATCGTCGTGGCGGGCGTAAATCCCAGCACAACCAGCGAGTCCGGTCCAACCTCTACGTCTTCGGCAGAGACACCCACGAGTACGTCGGACCCGATCGTGAAGGAAGTGGACACTAGTTCGAGCTCAGGTGAGCCATGAGAGATATCAGTAGTCCGTGTGTTGATACCTTCGTCTGTTTCGATTACAGTGTTCTCAGAGCACATGTCGTCGCCCCCACCGTCTTCCTCGACCCCATTCGCGATTGAGACTGTAATAGTCACCAGCGGATCTCTCGGAGAGCACACCGCCACGGTTACCCTCGTCGGACAATCGACCCAAACCATGACCGTCGTTACGTCGGTTGACAAAAACTCGGTTGGGTCTTCGCGCGGACTGAGCTCTGGGGGGGTGAAGGCCATCGCCGTCGCCGTCGCCGTAGTGGGGACTGCTCTCATCGCCGGCGTACTGTGGCTTTGCAGGCGAAGGAAAATGCGACGGCGACTGCTCACGCCCGTACGATGGGCTGAGTTCGAGTACGAAGACAAGGAGCTCAAGGACGCCATTCCTGCGTCTGGACATGGTCAGTATCATCCGTCAGCATCGCGCAGGCGCAGGCTACTCACTTCCGGTAGAAAACGACGCCGCAGCCGCCGTCAATACCCTAGCTACCAACGAGTCGGAGGCTACCCTTTCCCGCAACCACGCAAGTAAGGATGACGCGCCCCATCCGCATTCCCAGCCGCAGCAAATTGCAGCAAATTCTTCGCCCCGGAAGGCAGAATCGCGGAGTCCTCCCAGAGCAAACGGAGCGGAGAGAGAGATGGCAGTGGATGGCGGAGTGAGACTGGCAGGGGGGCCGATTGGGGAGAATTCAGAGCCTGCGGAGGGTATCTGGTCCACGCTCCCGCCGCCGTACCACAGGTATTCGCCGTAGCGACTTGGTGGTACCTAGAAAAGGACAACTTTGGGCGCACTGGCCTGTGGCGTAGTTGCAATATTGGGAGTCCGACTTTCGGAGCTTATGTACATCCGGTCCGATAGTAGCTGAGGGACTGCGCATCTCGTCGTCCACGTAATTGCCGTCATCGTGCTCTGCTCTCCATGAATCCATGTCGCGTTCTCGTCTCGCCAGAGTAGCCGCTAGGGAACGCAAGCCATCTACCACTCCTGCAACCCTGCCCCTTGCTTTGATACGGATGACGTCGGCTCGAACATTCGGGTGATGGAGCTTCGAGAGCAAGCGAACTGTTCATACCGCACATATGGTGAGTATAATGTCATCTGCATGCACTTCCCTTCTCACGTAGCTTCAGCGTCCTATCAAGGAACGGCGCAGTCGCAGCTCGCTTGCTCCAGACTATCCTCAATGACCCCTGGTGGACGATGGTGGAGATGGAGATCTTGTACGGCCGTGACAACGGAGGATTGCATGTGTCTGGTGAGTAACGTTTTGTTCATGCGCACTGGGTACAAGGTCAGCCAGCTCGGACGGATAATCCGAGATACGTCATCCGTTCAGCCTGTGCGAGCCTCATTACAGTCAAACCCCTCGTAGTGCATACCTGTGATAGTGCATACCCCCACATAGTGCATACCTTTGGCCTCTTCCCGAGTTGGTATAGGGGCATAACGCATACCCCCCCGCATACCGCATACTGCATACCTCGGCCGGGGGTCCATAACGCATACCTGTGTATATAATCAGTATTAGCGCCCCACATGTATGCCTTGCATGCCGCCCAAATGCGGGATAACTTTCCCATGTGCCCTCCATGCCCGACTGCCAACAGCCTGGAATAGCCACACAAACCGTCGGGACTGGCCGGGGCTCACGCACGACTTGATCCCACCCCCGGCCACCTCTCCCTGCCTCCGCAATGCTCCCTATATCCCTCTCGCCCTCCTCTAATCCGGCCTTGCTGTCCTCGAGAAGTAGATGAAAGAGCGCCAAACGGCCCTTCAAGCTTCTCTTCAGGCAGGGGAAATCATCTCGCAGTCATTGATTACTTCACTCGTATGTAGGCTATGTAGGGGGGGCGAGGTCAGATAACAAACGGGAGGAATGTGCGCACGAGGAATGCGCGCGTGAGGATCAATGCGCGCGCCAGCAGCCAAAAGGGCGCCCTGCAGAAGGGCGTCAATGGGTCTCCCACGATGAGCGCTTCTCTCATACTGCATACCCCACATAACGCATACCTCGGGGGCCTTCCCGAGGGGTATGCACTATGAGGGGTTTGACTGTAGCAGTCTCCATCCATGTGGGTTACCCAAAATAATCCACACCTTCTTCTCCGACCGACGCTTTCCTTCCTCTTGCGTTCTCAACTTCTCATACAGACCCACGACGACCGGTCTGTCGCGGCGGTCGTGCTGAGAGCTTCACGGCCATCATGTACTGCGGAGGTCAATGAGGTCGTTCTTCACGGACGTTGACATTCCCGCAGCAGCCACCTCGTATACCGTACTATAGGTCCCCTCATCCAATCACTCTCCCCCGTGTTGGTCACGAAGCAACAGAAGGTCACAATCCCGGACCTAGCGGGCGACAAGTACTGGGAGGCGACGACGAACCTGGAGACAAGCGCGCCCTGTTTGCCACCAGAACATTCGAAAGAGGCAGCGAAACGGTGATGCTCGTATTTGCGGCGCTGACGAGCACCTTCTACAAGACCCCGACATACCGTACCCGAGCGCGAAGCGAGGATCAGAACCGCAGTGTCGCCAGCGTCAACCGCTACGTTGGGTGATACACCGAGACGACCATCCCCTTCAACCTCAAGGCCTCAAGGTCAGTCTTACGAAGTCCTTCGGCCAGCGAAACGCCGAGAAGCTGAAGTGTGATCGGGAAGGCGGCGGACCCTTGACCCAAGGCGGATCAGATTCAGTCATCATTCGATTCGTGAAAGGTACGCCGTTCGCCGGCAAGCTCGCCGTCTGTGACCCGAAGCTCGGTGTCATTCGTGCGCAGCCAGCTCATCAGAATCGACAGGTCTACGCCCTCTCCGCGCCCGCCTTGTTCGGCAGTTCCGCCGACTCGAGGGCACCCTCCTCCAAACCCCGCCCGCCCGCATGAGAAAGGTACTCCACGTGGAGACATCCTTCAAGACACGCGAGGAGCGCGCGGCGAAGCTCTCAACGCGACCTCCCCGTGATGGAGCATCGGCCCGCTCTTCGAATTAGGCGAACGTCCTTCACGAAGGCTCTTGTCAGTCTCCCTGGTCTCACGCGCGCTGCACTATACACTCACTCCCGCTCTCGCGTCAGCCCGGGGTTTCTCGACCAGGTGCTTACCTTCACAGATTTCGGCATGCTCGCAGGCAGCGCAGAGCAATGCAGTGTCCGGATCCGTGGTATGGGTGCAGACGAAGACGGATATAGCGCGCCGGTCGTGGCATCGGGAGTTAGCATTTCTCAAGTCAGACAAGAGCAAATCGCGGCGGTCGAGCTTTGCGCAGCGCAACCACGATCATCGGCCAGCTGGGAAATGCGATGTTCATCTGAAGTCGATAGATGATTCTACTGTTCGCTTTACATTATTCGCACAAGGTACGACTCCCACGCATAGGCGGTAAACCACTCTGTTACGTCGGCAACCTGCCGGTCACTGCGCCCACCGAGTACACGTCTTCTACGAGGTTCCTTGAACGCTGGTTTCAACAGCAGGTAAGATGTGTTTGCGATGTCGTCCACGCCTGTTTCGCTCATCGTTCGTAGTCAACGTTTCATCGACAGATATTCGCACTGCGCCGGCTGTGGATCCTACGGCGGACACGATCACAGAGATGCCGTCTTACATATTCTGCTCACGCACACACCTTCTCACAGAATGGCCTCGGACCCGCATCCCGCCCCTGAGGAGCATTTCGGGCGCGGCGTCTCTTTGACGGCCGGTGTGTGAAGCTTACTGCGCCGCCGGGCTGCGGTGTTGACGCACGAGGTTGAGCGGAGCGCTTACTCGAGCGCGGGCTCCGTGCCACCTCGGCGCTGCTGCTCTGCGAGAGGACGGGAATCTCAGATGCGAGCTGAAAGGTATATAAGCCTGAGTTTCATCGACTGACACCGACAGCTCACTGCTACCTCTCACAGACTCGAGCATCTCCGTGCACTCCATCGCTCCTCACACACCTCACCATGTTCTCCAAGTCCATTTTGTCCGTTGCCGCTCTCGCCGTGCTCGCCACTGCCACGCCTTTGAAGAGAGCGACGTGCAGTAACGGTCATACCGCCTCCGACGAGCAGGTGAGCTATTTCTCTCGGTTAGTGCGCATCCCGAACTGACACTTTTCTGTAGTGCTGTGTGTGGTTCGACGTCCTCGACGACATTCAGGAGAACCTCTTCGAAGGCAGCGAGTGCCAAGAGGAGGCCCACGAGTCTCTTCGTGTTAGTGCTAGCATCACACAGCAGCCCCATTCCATACTGACTGCCTGCTGGATACAGCTCACCTTCCATGACTGCATCGCGTATTCGCCGTCTCTCATCGCCGATGGCGAAGACGGTGGCGGAGGCTGCGGTAAGTTCCCCGTCCCCATCGTTGGTATCTCGGCCACTCATGATCACCCTCTCAGACGGCTCTATCATGAAGTTCTCCGATGTCGAGACGGCCTTCCATGCGTCGATCGGTCTTGACGAGATCGTCGCCAAGCAGCTCCCCTACGCCCTCAAGCACAACGTCTCCTTCGGAGACTTCATTCAGTTCGCCGGCGCCGTCGGCGTCTCCAACTGCGGCGGCGGCCCCCGCCTCCAGTTCCTCACCGGCCGCTCCAACGACTCGAACGTCTCCCCCGACGGGCTCATACCCCTCCCGGAGGACACCGCCGACACGATCATCGCGCGTTTCGCGGACGTCGGGATCAGCGCGGACGAGATCGTTGCCCTTCTCGCGTCGCACTCCGTCGCCGCTCAGGACCACGTGGAGCCCACGATCCATGGCAGCCCTTTCGACTCGACGCCGTCCGACTTCGACGCGCAGTTCTTCGTCGAGACCCTTCTCAAGGGCGTTCTGATGCCCGCGGCGCCCGACGTCACCACGCTCGCCACGGGCGAGGTCCTCTCGCCGCTCCCCGGTGAGCTCCGCCTCAACTCGGACTTCGAGCTCGCTCGGTACGTCTCCCTCCGCCCCCCTCCGCCCCTGCCTTGTCCTTACGCGCGCTGGCCACAGCGACAACCGGACGGCGTGCGAGTGGCAGTCGTACGTGACGAGCCAGTCGTTCATGATGGACAGGTTCACGGCGGCGATGAAGAAGATGACGGTGCTCGGGAACGACGCCTCCGCGCTCGTCGACTGCTCCGAGGTGATCCCCACCCCGGCCGCCGCCGCGTCCCAGACGGCGTACATCCCCGCGGGGAAGAACCAGTCGGACATCGAGCCCGCGTGCTCTGCGACGCCCTTCCCCACCCTCTCGGTCCAGGCGGGGGCCGAGAGCTCCATCACGCCCGTGCCCTCGTAAAGTCGCCGCCGGACATTTCGTAGTGGGCATCAGTCTTCGTTAGACGGACCGTGTTCTGGAACCTTTACGCCGTGTTTTGATGTCGAGGTAGCCTTTAGGGTATTTATTCCGGGGCGCTCACCGCTGCCTCGGTTATTTAAAGTCTACGGAGATCACGGCAGCGCGAGCGTGGAAGGCGTGCAGAGATTGGAGCCCATTAGAAGCCGTTCTAAATCGTCGGGCTCTCGAGGGGCGTCTACCATTTTCCTCGTCGTTGCGACTGCTCGAGTACGTAAGCACGCCTGATGGGCATCTTCCACCCGCTTCCAAGTCCCAACGCGCTCTCTTCCGTCTCCGCTTCGCATGGTAGCAACCTGGGAAAGACCTCGCCACGCCGTAGCAACCGTCTCCCATCTCGGTCTCGCATCCTCCTCCCGTCCAGCATGTCCCGTCGACTTGACCCTCCCCGTGCGGCGACGACGTGCGTCGTACTTTCCGAATGAAAACGCGCGACTTGTTTGTAGAACTCTCTAGAATGCAAGACACAGCCTACACGCCCCCTTCGTCGACGCCGACATCCAAATCAAACGCGGGTGGTGGTGGGCATTTTGAGTTGATCCGTTGATTGGAGCACGCCTGCGGGCCGGCCACCCGCTGCCGCTCGCTGCGCTGAGGCCTGAGGGATTTGGGTGATGGCGACCCATGGGCTCTATTCCGTTTGTCGAACTCGCGAGTCTTTATCCGCACCGGGAAACCCCGCTCGACGCTGTCGTGCGTCACAGCGGCCTGGTCAGCACGGGTCTACCGACTCCCAGCACGAGAAGTTCGCGGGCGCTATCCGATCAAATTCGCAAGCTCCTGATATGACGCAGCACACTCGGCTCGTCTTTTTCAAGCTTGGCTTCGAGCAAGAGCGCGCGAGCAGCCGCCGCGGTGACGGCCTCCAGCCAGGCCTGTCACGGCAGAGGTGGGGTGATCGCGTCTTGGGTTTCGCAATCCTTCTGGGGCAGCGCAGTGCGTCGCGGACGACACCATCGCGCTTTATCGACGGAGGCCTGCAGGTTCGAGATGAAGAGCAGTTCGATATTAGACGGCCCCGCGAGAGGCAATCGGGTGCGGCGCGTGCGCGACGCAGCCTCGCCGCCGTCACCGGTTCCGGTCGCCACGGGCGCGGACGTACTTGAGTGGTGAGGTCATTGAGGGAAAGAGGTGAGACGGTTGCTTGCCTGAGCAGGCCATCGCGCACAGAGGCGACGCACGTACGCCTGGGCGACGGAGCCCGAAACTGTGCGGGACATACTTAGAAGGCCACAGGTAGTCGTCAGCGCTTTTGTTTGATACCGGGCACGAACTGCGGGTGGAGTTCCGTTGTTCAGAGTACGGACAGGGCGTGCTCTGCATACGGACCCCTGGGCCGATGAAGCATGGGAACGCGCACGTAAATTCGTCCACCCGCTTGGCGTTTATTCCACGAGAAAGAACCCTCGAATGCTAATACATAACGACTTGTGAGCGATCTGACCGGAGGCAAAGTTGTGGCCGCAGTCGATGACGAGTGCGGGCGCTAGCCCGTTGCCTCTTTCGGCAGCAGGGCCGCTCTCGCCGCTCTAAGACTACAGGGCGTCCCTGCTCTCTTCATCCTACTGCGACGCGACAACTGTATCCTTCCTCTGTGCTCCAACGCTCGTTTCAGACCATGATGAACGCGTTTTATCACGGCGGCAAGTGGCAGACGCGTTCTAAACTCAACCTCTTGAGTCCCAGACGCTCTCCTTGTCATCTTTACTCCACAGCGCTCTCCCACTGAACGCCTCTCCAATATTTCCGGTCCATTCGAATGTCCTTGACGATCTCATACTATGTCCAGAGGGTGCAGTTTTCCCGACATGGGCACTGATTGAGGGCACGACGTTGGTCGCAACGGGAGACAATGTGGGAGACAGCTTTCTGTGAGTGCCCATCCCTCCCAAAACCTCGCTCGGAGCACGATATGACGTTCGCACCACCGTTTTCCCGCAATCCCCACACGCAACCGCACCACCGTACACCGCCCATCAGCCCGCCATACAAAAGCTCACCATCCCGCCCTCTCGTCTCGCCCCACTCCCCTTCTATCCCTAGTCCTCTCCTTCTCCCTTCTCCCTGCCGATTTCCACCATGTCCCAAATCGACCCTTCGGACGAGAAGAAGGTGACGCGAAAGACGTCCATCACCGGCCACGACTCCTTCTCCGAACACCGTCGTTCCTCCTCCCAAGCCTCCGAGAATGTCAAGTCCGTCCGAAACCTCAACGCCAAGCTCGCCAACCCTCTCTCCGGCATTCCACACGAACGCCTCATGGAAGATGCCGCGGCCTTCGCTCGCACCCACGGGCTCGAACAGTATACCCACACGATCCAGAAGGGCGCCCTCGTCGCCCAGGACCCCGCCGCGTTCGAGACCCTACCGATGCTCGACGACCACGACCGGCACATGCTCCGCCGCGAGTTCACCCACAAGTGGGACCAGCCGTTCATGCTCTACTATCTCGTCGTCATGTGCTCCCTCGCTGCTGCCGTCCAAGGGGTGAGTGCCATATTTCCTCACCAGAGCCACGTTCTGAGCGCATATATCTGCTTCCTTAGATGGATGAGTCCGTCATCAACGGCGCAAACCTCTTCTTCGCCAAGCAGTTCGGCATCGACCCCGGAACCGGCCCCACCTCCGGGAGTAGCAAAAACCAGTGGCTGCTCGGTCTGGTCAACTCGGCTCCTTACGTTCGTGTCCCATCTCTTCTTTGCGTCCATGTCAGCTTATATGCTCCCTCCAGCTTTGCTGCGGGCTCATCAGCTGCTGGCTGACCGATCCCGTGCGTCCCTGCCCCATCTTGCTCGTTACTGCGTCATCTAACCGCCAATCTACAGCTGAACAAGTGGCTCGGTCGCAGAGGCGCGATCTTCGTCACCGCTATGTTCTCCTTCCTCACTTGCATCTGGCAAGGTGTAACCAACTCCTGGCCCCATCTCTTTATCGCTCGCTTCTTCCTCGGCTTCGGTATCGGGCCGAAAAGCGCGACCGTGCCCGTGTACTCTGCGGAGTGAGCGTCCTTCATCTTCTGTTTTATCTTCTCTGGACTCATTGGCGGGGGCTAGATGTGCACCACCTCTCATTCGTGGCGCGCTCGTCATGATGTGGCAGACGTGGACCGCGTTTGGTATCATGATCGGATACGTCATGGACATCGCCTTCCAAAACGTCCATGACCCTCCGCACATCACTGGGCTCAACTGGCGACTGATGCTCGGAAGCGTGAGTGTTCTATTTGGGCCTCTGACTTTGAAGGAGACTCAATCCACTCGGTAAAGGCCGGAATTCCTGCGCTGTTCATCGCCGTCCAAGTCTTCTTCTGCCCGGAGTCGCCACGTTGGTACATGATGAAGGGCCGCTACCCGGAAGCTTTCAACTCCCTCCGCCGCCTCCGTCACACTGAGCTCCAGGCTGCGCGCGACCTCTATTGTACGCCGACGATCCTGTTTCACGTTTTCTCTCTACTGACGTCTGTGCTTACAGACATTCACGTGCTGCTCGAGGCCGAAAAGGAGGTCGACCGCAAGACGCGCAACAAGTTCCTCGAGCTCTGGACGATCCCGCGCAACCGTCGCGCGTCGATCGCGTCGACGATCGTCATGTTCATGCAGCAGTTCTGCGGCGTGAACGCGATCGCGTACTACTCCTCCAACATCTTCGTCCAGGGCGGCTTCTCACAGACCTCGGCCCTCCTCGCGTCCTTTGGCTTCGGCGCCGTCAACTTCGTCTTCGCCGGACCCGCGGTCTGGACGATCGACACCTTCGGACGACGGAACCTGCTCCTCGTCTCGTTCCCGCTCATGGCGATCTTCTTGCTCATGACCGGGTTCGCTTTGTGAGTCGTGCGGCGTTGTCTTCTCGTTGAACGTGTCCCTGACCGAGGTTCCCTCTGGAAGCTTCATCCCCACCGAGAGCCCAGCGCACGTCGGGATCATCGCGCTTGGCATCTACCTTTTCACGGCCGCATACTCGCCGGGCGAGGGGCCGGTGCCGTTCACGTACTCCGCGGAAGCCTTCCCGCTGTACGTGCGCGACGTCGGCATGTCGCAAGCGACCGCGCTGCTCTGGTTCTTGTACGCACCCTCCTACTCCTCCGCCCGTCCCGCGCTCACCGTGTCCCGCCCGCCCCAGCAACTTCGTCATCGCGCTCACCGTCCCCGCGCTGCTCGGCGCCTGGACGCCCCAGGGCACCTTCGGCTGGTTCGCAGGCTGGAAGTACGTCCTCCTTCCCTCCTCGTCCTCATCCTCGCCCTCCCCTCACGCCGAGCGCTGATATACCGTCCCGCACAGCATCTTCGGCTTCTTCGCCGCGCTCCTCTTCGTGCCCGAGACCAAGGCGCTCTCGCTCGAGGAGCTCGACCAGGTGTTCAGCGTCCCGACGCACACCCACGCCGCGTACCAGGTCCGCGCGCTCGGCCACAACCTCCGCCGGCACGTCCTCCGGCAGAAAGTCGGGGACATGCCGCCGCTGTACGAGCACGAAGGCGCGATCGGCGACAAGACGTACGCTCCCGGGGGCGTCGGCGCGGCGTGAGCGCGGACGGCCGTGCGTGATGGAAGACGCATACCCAGACGGTCGCGTGTGTGTTGAGGACGTGGCAGCTGACTGAAAGTGTATTTATACGTAACGGGCGTTGTACATTAGGTCTGAGCTTTAATAATGGAGTATGTACGTGCTACAAATTCCGGCTGGGGTGTCGAGTGCACCCGCGGAGTCTCGTATGACGCCTTCCCGATATAGGTACTGTATAGCACCTCGGCAATCTCCGATACGCCGGGCGCTCGATGGCCCCAGGCTTCGAAGTTCGGGTTTGAAGATGCATGTGTAGCCCGCGGTGTGTGTGTGGCACATTCGTGCGCGGAGATGGGTGAGACGATTGGCCGCCCCCACGAGCCGCTCCGCATCGAGATCTGCCGTGAAAGGGCGAAGGCTCGCGGGCTGGGGCAAGTTCTGAACGAGACGAGACCCATCTCCCCATCCCACTGCATGGACCTTGGCAGATCGACCTGGAGGAAGCCAATCGGCTGTACATGAGGTGCCGCCGATGCTCCATCCGCGAAAGAAGAGAAGCGTCTCGAGAAGGGCGTCGTGCGACCGTGCGCAGACGATCGGGGTCGACCGTGAGTCTGACGGCGGTGTTTGCGCGAGGGATCGCGAGTTCGTAATTCGTCGTGAACGCCACCCAGGACAATGCACCAATGGCCGGGAAACGTACGGCCGGGGACGTCGAAGAGTAAAAGAGCCCCGACGTCTCGTCGCAGTTGCCAGCGGTGCACCGAGCGGGGGAAGACGCAAGACGGGTCGGTTGGATCCGTCGCGTCCTACTGGAAAATCCACGGTCCCGGCGGAGCTCGATCGAGCATGGCCGTGTACTCGTGCACGCTGGCTCAAACGAGGCTCCGTACGAACGCGCACCGCGCGCTCGTGAATCATATGCGTCCCCATTTACCCGCACGCCCTGGCACGACCGCGCTATCCCCGTCTCCCCCGTCCCCCATCCCCCCATCCCTCCCACTTCATGGCGCACACGCTTCTTGCGACCTGGTCCCGGTCTCCGGGCCCGCCGAGCTTCGACACGACGCATCATGACGCACGGGGAGGCTCTCGCGAGCTCTAACCCCGTGGCCCGCGCGTCCGCCTCGCGCTTCTCTCCCCCCCAACGATCGCAATTGCAATTGTGCCCACCACGCGCGTGCGGTCGGGGGGATGGACGGGCGCCCTCCCTCCACCGCCCAGAGAACACGTCCTGGGTTCGTGTTTATGCATGCTCGCGTCACACGACCACCAGCGCGATGGGAAAGGGACGCTGGTAGTGTGGCTTGGCGCCGCCTCGCGCGAGAACCTGTCTTGCAGAATACCCAGACGCGGATAGGCGTGCCATTGCGCGGACTGCACGGCCGTCCAAGCCAAGGAGGCAATCACACCGAGGCACACATCGGGGACAAGACCATGTGGAAAAAATGCGATTACCCACAGCGGGCGAGTAGCAGTGCGAGTAGACAGAGTAGCAGAGCGACGAGCAGGAGTGGAGAGCACGGACTAGACGAGGGGGTGGAGCGGTATATGTACACAAACAACAGATACGGAGCGATCGAAGAACCACAAAAAGCAAAGCAGAAAAGCAGAAAGCGGACCGCACCGCGCCCACCATGAGGGCAGGCGCGCGCTGAGGTCCGGGGCCAACAGGGGCAGAGCAGGGCGGAGGCCATAACGACGACGGTCCCCAATAACATGAAAGCGAGGGAGCAACGGTTACTCACAGAAGCGCTGTCCCTCCCCTCCCCACCCATAGATACTACATCGTCATCGCGTGCGCGAGCTCCGACCCCCCGCCGGGCCCGCTTCCTCCGACGCCCGTCACGCCGCCCGCCGCCCCGGCGCGCTGCCCCGCACCCTTTTGTTGGCGCTGCACGGCCAGGCGCGCCGCCCGCGCGAGCCCGTCCCAAGGCTCGTGCGAGTGCTCTCGCGCGCCTCCGGCAGCGCCCCCGCGCGAGATCTCAATCTTCTGCGGGCGGCTCTTCCGCTCCATCACAGGCGTGCGAGGCGTGCTGGGCGTGCGCGGACTGCTGCCCGCTTGCGAGTGCATGAGCGGAGGCGTGGCGGGTAGCGGCGTTAAGGGCGAAGCAGCCGGCGCGGGTCCGGTCGCGTCTCGCGTAGGGAGGTCTGCAGTCTTCACCGTCATCTTCGGCTTCGTGGCGCTCGTGGTGGAAGCAGACGCGGGCGCAGGATCCGAGCTTGAGCCTGAGGCTGACGCCGCCGAACCTGAGGCGGCGGCGGCGGCAGCAGCAGCAGCAGTGAGCGCCTCGATGCGCGCCGCGCGTGTCCCGCGTTTGTGCTGCCCGCGGCGGGATTCCTTCGGGTACTCGCATACGAGATCGCGACGTGTGCACTGGCTGAAGGGGGGATAAGCCAACGACAACCACGCTCTTTGAGAGAACTCACTTGCAGCGCTGCGGGCCCCCCGCGGGTGGAGGCCCGCACGCGATCTTGCGCTCGCGGCAGAAGAGGCAAGCCATGATAGGCTTCTTCTTCTCCGGCTCGCGCTCGCCGTGCTCGCCGACGGGGTGGGGCATCTGCAGCTTGAACATCGCCTGGCCCGCACCGAGGGATGCAACGGGCGGCACAGGCGGCGCGGTCTGCACCGTGCCTGGGGCGGGGAACTGAGGAAAGGGGTAGTCGACGTGGGGCGCAGGCGACGACGGTCGGCCGTTCTTGCGGGGACGACCGCGTGAACGCTTCGGTCCAAAGGAGGAAGAGGACGGAGGTAGGGGCTCGGTCTTGACTGAAGGCGTGGGGGAGGATTCGCGCGGGGGGTTTGTCGAACGCAAGGGTGCACGTGGGTCGGTCGGCGGCGGTGGAGATTCGCTCTTGCGCTTCATAGGCACCGAGGAGGATGAGTGTGGGTACGGGGGCGCAGGAAGAGCGGCGTGCGGAGTGGGGGCAATGGGAGTCAGGGCACTCTCGAGGGTATAACTTCGGGTCGGGCCGGAAGGAAGGGGACGGTAGAAGAGGGGAGCTTGGTGCTCCATATACCCAGCCAATGGGGGGTGTGCATAGTCGGCGGGGAGCGGGTGGACGGCCATGGGGTCCTGCCGCGCGTCCTCGAACATGGTTTGTGGGGGAGGATAGTAGAACTGGGGCGGGTGGCGGGAATGAAAACGGGGAGTTGTGAGAGGAGGAAGGAGACGAGACTGACCGAGGACGGATAGGACCATGGCTGCTGATCGATATACGGGGGCTGATGGAAGGCGTTGTATGCGTCGTCGACAGCTTCATCCTTGAGGTCATGATACTCCTCGACGGGGGTGTCTGCAGGCGGATCTTCGGCGGGGTCGTAGTCGCGTGGGGAGTCGTACTGTGCTGCGTAGCCGACAAGCGGCCGGTCGGACCAGAGGGAGGTGGCGTGGGCGGGGACGTCTTGGTCGGAGTCGAGGGCGATAGAGTGGAGGGGGCGATAAAGCTGCACGCCATCCCGGAGCGGGGACGGTTGGAGTGGTGGATGGGGGTAGGAAGTGAAGTGCTACCGGGGAGGCTGAGTGAAATGAGCACGAGCGCCAAGGGCGAGGGGATTACTTACGGGGGAGTGACGGGGATATTCGAGTGGGGGCTGGTAGGGGAGGGGGTCGGGGCTGGGGATCGCAGATGGACTGGGCGTCTGGGAGATGGACGGGTGGCGATCGAAGGAGGGGGCCGCTGTGAGGGAGTGGTGAGCGGCAGCGGGAGTCACAGGCTGCGGTGAGGGGACGCACCGAAGGACATTGGGGAGCGGGCGGGGGGGAAGTGGAAGAGAGCGGGGATGGTGGTGGGCGGGAGGGAAGAGGAGGAGGAGGAGGAGGAGAGCATCGCGGCCGACAAGCGACGATCGCCGGGAGCAGATCAAGCGATCGCGGACGGGACAAGGGCGAACCAGGAGACCAAACTCGGTCCCCGCCCCCGCCCCCAGCTTATGTACGATCCCACCCACCGATCCCACCCCGGGCGCCTGACGCAGGACGTCAGATGACGCCATCCTCGTGCCGGTAAGCCCGGGGCGCTTCCCACGAGGCTGCTGGGAGAGGACCCCCGACATCTCCCTCAGAGGCCGTTGGCGGTTTCCGGACATTTTCGCCGGTCTGGGGGTGCCTATGCCGTGGGGCGCTTAGGCCCAAACGGACATTTTCCGGAAGGCGGGGGGTCGATCCCGTGGTCGATGGTCCGGACAGCCGGTCAGGCAGGCTGAGGAGGCCGTTGGCACCTGTATATAGGACGTAGCGCCGGTACACCAGAAACCAGTTACCTTTGTGACTGATGCCTTGTGACTGATTTCGCCAGCACGCTGGCCAGGTAAGTAAAGGTTTATAGCCATTTGAAAGCGGTCCTTGTGGTTGTAGCTTGGCACACAAATCAGACCATTATGGCATCAATCAATGCCTGCACAGTGACTACGAGTTGTCGGGCGTCTCTTAACGTTCCCGCGCCGCGCTAGTCGCCGAATCGCCCGCGCGACTCGAGGTCTGTCCAAGGGTCTTGACGAAAGCGAGGTAGAGGAGGTTCGCGCGCAAAACCGCAATACACGAGAATGAGAGCGAGAGGGGAAAAATAGCGCGGGAATCGGGTGCCCCGGAAATGCGAAGATAGGACCGATGGGGCCGACGGATGGCTACAATGCGTGGCTGGGTGCGGCGGTGGGAGACAAAACAAAAAAGGGTTCTGGGTGAGCATAGTGGAGGGTAACTCAGAAAAACTCGACTCAAATATGGCGCAGCACGGAAAGTTATCAGTAAGACGGGACGAGCGCGAGAGGCCTGCTCAACTGACAGCAGCACGGAAAGGCTAGGCTCTGCCCGATGAGAGGGGCTTATGCCGCGCATACTCATCGGGTGACCGTCAGAGGCCGCGGACCCGGGCTGTAGCGTTGGGCGGAGACGCGTCGGGACGCGGGGAGAACGTCACGGTGCGCGCACGCCTCGGAGGGCACACCGTGCTGCGCGCGCGCACTTCCCGGAGGGCGCGCGGTGGCTGGACGAGCGTAGTGAGCTCGTAGCGTCCGCTCCTTGGGATGAACCGTCGTCGCGACGCATGGTCCGTGTTGATCAAACGGTAATATATATCAGCGGCATCGTCGGCACGCTCGTCTGGCCATTGGGTACGGGCTGGTGCCGGGGCACTCCCCGGGCGAATCAACTCTCGTTTTAAACCACTAATTATCAAAGCTATAGTCGACCACTCCTAATCTCTTCCAAGAGCTCTCTTCTCCATGGGCGGTGAAGATGATGACGGAGAGGCGACGGGCTCCGAGGTCATTGGCGCTTAGATCCTGTTGTGCTCTCGCTTGATTATCGACGTTGGACATGGTGTAGGGTGCTCATATGTGCACATTCACAGCTGTTGTAGCTACGTAATGTCTTTCTGGTGTCTCATGAACGAAAATTCGCTCTCCATAGGCCGTTTCCAGCTGCATCCGGACATTTTGACCCCATCGGCAGGCCGTTTCCGAAAATCCGGACAGAATCACGCTCAGGGCGCTGAGGCCATGCTCAATCCGGACACAAAAGGGCCGGCCGGAGGCCGTTTCTGACGGACACTGCAGGCGATTTTTGAAAAATTTGGCAACGGCCTCTGAGGGAGATGTCGGGGGTCCTGCTGGGAGGAGGTGTTGAATAGAGCTCCGCGATCTGTGCCCCAGCCTTAGCTCATGTTTAGGTACCCGCCGCCCCCGTGTTCGTCCCCCGGCGCCCCCGTGAGCGCAGGCTTCGCGCACCGAGCACACGACCTCGACGGTTCTCGCGTCCGCCTACCGCACCCCACGTCAACCGCGACGCCCCATCAGCCCAATCCGCGTAGATTAAGTCCAGCGGCAGCCGCGGAGCACCTCCTTCCCCCACCTCGCCTCCAGATTTACCCTCCCCCAGCCGCCCATCTCCTTCGATCTTCGACGTGCGCGTCCACCCATGCCTGCAGCTGCTCCCCCTCCCCGTCGCCCCGAGGGAAGACTGTCGAGCGAGAACCCAGCCCCGCCTAGCTTCACGTCCCACGCCCTCGCCCCGCGCTCAAACTCCGCACGGATAAGCGCCTGCGCTAACTCGCGATCCCGCCCCACCCCGCATGGATCGATGGCGTGATCGACCCTCGATCATCTCCACCTTGCGTCCCCCCGACCGACCCGGCTGATTGCTCAACGACGCGAGATCAACGCCCACGTCTAACCACCACCTACTTCCTACTCACCGACTACCCTCCCGCTAGTCCTGTACGTACTCTCTCCGCCTCGCTCACGAGCGCCCACCATCTCGGGTGCACGGCTCGCGCGCAGTGATGCGCCAAGTCGAGCATGACGTACGCGATCGTCTGTACTTACCGGCCCTTCATGGGGGCATGGGCGTGCATTTGACAACGACGGCGACGACCCACTCCCGTCGGCACGCGCGTTGACGATTCGCGAAAGTCGATCGAGCTCTCGAGCCGATGTCAGTGCCGTCAGCAGGGCAATCACTCTGGCGTCATTCTACCCCCCATTCTAGTGTCCATGTCAATGCCAACTGTCGTGGAGGTGAGTAGCAAGCAGGCGCAGTGCGGGTGCAGAATTCGAAGCACCCGCCCCGTCTTCCGTCCAGTGCGCTCACATCCCCGCTACGTATCTTCAGACGAGTCTAGGGCCCGCACCGCAAGCACATCCGTCCGTCGAGGCTATCGACCGCAGTGCGCCACCAGTCCAGAATCATGTCTCTCCGCGCGACACCATCGACGGATCGCGTTGGCCGTCCCGCGCGCACCGCCATACGTAGATAGAAGGCACCAACCATAGGACTCCATGTCGAACAAGCTCACTAATTGCATAGGGTACATCATCGTCTAGTGCGCACAGAGCACATGCGCACCGCGCTACGGGCCGGGGGCGGTGCGGACTCCCACCGCGCGCTCCCGTGCCCTCAGATACATATCAGCTCCTCTTCATGCCGAATTGCGTCTATGCAGGTGCCGGCCGAGCCTGCGAGGCCGGTCCCCAGCGTCCGGCCGAGCTCTGGGCGCCTAGGCCTCAGGCAAATTTCCCGTGCCGTCTGCCCGTCTGTCCGCGCGCTTTCTCTCTCTTCCCCTACATCCGGTTCTCCGCCGTACCATCCATCGTCTTCTCGCATTAGATCAGCTTAGTTTCTGTTCTCACAGCCGTCATGACCAACAACGTCCCCGACCCGAGCCAACTCCAGCTCCTTCCGGGCGAAATCCAGCCCGACACGCCCTCGCAGCTGCCTGCTAGCCGCAGGGTGTCACCCAGAACTGTCGAAAGGAAGGAAACCCCGAGCCAACTCGAGCAAGTGGCCGACGCACCACGGAGAAGGCAGACGGTAAAAAGAAGGCGACGTCATCGCCGGACAGCACCTCGGGACCGAGCGGTGCCGCCCCCTCGAGCGTGGGTGTTACGGCCATGCCCGCCGGCAACGCCCAGACGCCTGGCCAAGCGGCGGCTGCGCCCTTGGCTGCCCCAGGAGCGGCGTCTCTCGCAGCGCAAGTCTCTCAGGCTGCCGCCGCCACAAAGACCGCCGCCACGCCCTCCAACACCCAAATCACCCCCGCACAGCTCAGCGTCCTCATCCTT